ACATTTTTTTAGAGTTAAATTCACCTTTTTCACAAAGTAGAATACTCAACTAAGAATAAATGTGAAAAAAAAGTAGGGATTGCGAAACATTTACAAAATAAATAATTATTTTAATTTATATATGCAAAGTGATTAATAGATAATGTAACATAATTATTTTTAAAAATAAAACATTTTAGGGATAATTTTTATATTTTGATAAAGAGAATAAAATATACAAACAAATTAGGAATTTTCAGAAAAAAAGAATAAAATATCATTTATAAGGAAAATATGTAGAATTTTTTTTTTACTTTTTAAATAATATTATTTTTAATAAATATTTAATATACTTAATATTTTTTATATTTTTAAGGAAATTAATGAAAGTATTGTCGATATGTTTGTCACATTCAATAATAAAAACACTTTAAAAAAGTAATAAAAAATTAAAAGGAAATATTATTATGCTAACCTTTCATTTATCTATTTTTTTTTTTATAAATTTTGCATTTCTTTATTTACCAAAAATTTAAAAATCCTCTTTCCTCGATAACATGCACATACTCAATATATTAACTTTAGGCTTTTGTTCCTTTTCATCTTTGTTAAAAGAAATGAAAATAGTAAATTTTATCAAATATAACGACCTATTATGATTGTTATACTTAACGATTTAATTACTAATAAAAAAAATATAAATACAATTACTTAAAATTAATATGCACACAATTACTATTAACACATGTAATAATATATGTATAAGAATAAAAATCAATTATAAAGTAATGAGTGTTCCTCGATTGGAACTACAACATGTCTTGTACACATATATACAATAATTCCACTAAAAGTATGAAAGTCTTAGTTGTGTGTCAAGTAACAACTACGAAAGAACTACCACACCAAAGTAATATAAAACAACGCCACCATCTAGCACGACTCTCAACTAGAACTTCTCCTCCAAATATTTATGTCTTACTTTTATACTAAGTATAATTATTGCAGTTTAACCACAAGAAAACATGTAAGGGTAAGTTAAAATTTAAGAGAAAACCACATAATAAGTATTGGAGGAAAAATAATTATACTATCAACTTACTTTAATATTTTATCAACTTGCAACCTTTCAACACAACACAACATGCTCTTTAATTAGAACAACACAGCATAACAGCATATTAACTCAACATTCCATGACAATGCAACTCATCAATAGTACAACATAACATATGCATCACACAACTCAACAATTCAATCATATATGCACAATGAATCAACTACATATATTGTCATGTATACAACTAAGAAATCTTTTACAATACATGTGAGCAATTTAAGTGGTTTAACCTTGCAAATCAACAACTCAATCTTTTCAATATAACAAGATCAACAACTAATTTGGATAACAATTCACAATAATATGGTTTCTCAGATTTTTCCATTTAAACTAGGAATGTTTAGTATTTTTTATCAATGTAGGATAACTTAGGTGTACGTGGATCTACCACGACATTAGCATGCATAACTAAGTCTCCTATAGAATTAGCTCATCGACCACCCTTTAAATACTACGTCATTTCCAGTACTTAGTTAGGAATTTTAGTTTTCAACATTGTACATTACTCTAAATTGGTTGCTTTATACATGTATGACTTGACTTGACTCCCATACAGATCAATATTAGTCACTTTATAATTAGTATCCCTCGACTTGACCCCCTATACCATGGTCGCTTATAGACAGTATGCATCAACCTTGTCCACATACCACATAGACAAAGGTCCTAAAAGAGACTCAACTATTCGCTTTAAAGGTTAACCTCCCAGGAAAGCTTTTTAACAATTGGGCTTGTAGAATACCATAAAAATATCCTCATAATGGGATACCCCACTTTTAAAACAATATCTGTTATAGACTTTAGTCAATCAACACAACTCAACACCATGCCTTAAGCATTCTCAACATAATCACCTCAATATTTCAACACATAACTCAACTTACAACTTTCAACGAAACTCTTATGATTTCAGAAAGGTTAGAAAGAAGAAGGAAGAAAGTTAAAATATAGGTTTCCTCACTTTAACTTTGCTCTAAACTTTATGAAGAAATGAACTTATGAGATTCATTTCTAAAGAAAGACCTTAAATGCATTCCCTACAATTCAAATTTGACCTTTATTCAAAGACACTCTTAAACAATTAAAAACTTATACAAAATTTCTTAATTCTAGAGTTTTTCGACATATAAAAAATCAATTAACATAGCAACATATATTTTAATAAAATAAACAATTAATAAAACGTATAGTGTAACACAAATAATGATTTGTTGAATAGCTTAAAGTAGTATTTTCACAATGTTTATGATATATAACAAAAAAATTATATATAAAATTATATTTTAAATTTGTATAACTAAATATTTTAAGACATATAAATTATATTTAAAATTTATGATAAATATTTTATATTGCAACGTAAGATTATTTAATTATTTATAGTTTATTTTAAAATATTAAAATTTAATTATAAAAAATATTAAATAAATTAAATAAATAAGAAGTTAAAATAATTTGTATAAACTCTTTCAACAAAAAAAAAACCAAAAAATGATCTCGTAAAAAAAATCCTAAAAATATTTTTATACAAAATAATTAATTATATTTAATACATAGGATGGATTAGCCTATAATTTTAAGATTTGTATGATTGGTATTATTTAATTAAAATTATAAAGAGACCTAATAAATATTCATAATTGCTTAGAAAGATAATGTATTAAAAGTTTTTACCGATACTATTTTGTTTATGCTTTTTATTTAATAGTGTTCGGTTAAAGTAATTAGAAATCTCAAAAAAAAAAGTAACTAGAAATATCTTAATATGATTTATTAGAAAATAAAACACATTTTCTTTTTATGTTACGTTGAATGTTAAAAAAAATATAATAAAAATTGTATGGAAGGACAAATAATTAGTATAAAATGGACTACGAACCATATTTTGATGGTAACACATTTGTTTTATACGAGCTATATATTAAATTAAAATAATTATATTAAATCAGAGCGTTTTTAGACAACATTTTTTAACGAAATATTTTTTTAAGAATATCCTCATAATGTCTTATCTTTAATAATATTATTTTGGTTATATATCATAGTTAAATTCAATTAATTTTATATAAAATTTAAAGAAACAATATTAAAAAATGATTTTTCAATAATATAATGTATCATTAGAATTTATAAGTTATTAAAAATTAGAAGAAGAAAAAATCAGCATAGATTAATCAATAGTATGATTATACAAATAAATTGAAAGATACATTATATAATATCTCTCATGAACATAAAATTTAGTTCTAATATAAATTCTTGTAGTCAATAATTTAATGTCTAAAAGATATCTCAACCATGGAGTGTCATCATCTGTTATTTCTAATTGCAATAAAAGGATTTATTGATTAATAAATTTCAATATAAGCATAATTAGGTTTTTTAAGGATAAAAGTTCGATGTTTTTTTGTTTGTGCAAATGAATGCTACTGCAATTCTTAGTATAAGAGCTAAAATTTTAATTAGTTTGGTACTTAAGACACCATCAATTATTTCTCAAGTATTATTATTTTTTCTTTATGAAAGTATCTATATTAAATGTATTTTTTTTTAAGTCCAACAAGCTAGTAAACATCATTTAATTTATGCCTCTTAAAATATAAATATCTTATTTTTTCTTGGAGTGCAAAAACTTTAGAAACATATACTCCCTCTGTCTCATTTTGTTTGACATTTTAACATTTCTTATCTGTTTTGATTTGATTGTGATGTTAGAATATCAATGTAACATTATCTGTTTTTCTTATTACACCTTTAACTATTATTAATGCATTCTTTAATTATTTGTGGAATCCAAAAGATTTAAGAATATATTAAAAAGTTATATATTACCTTTGTTATTATATACGAAAATCAAATACTTAATTCATCAATATTAAAAAAAAAATAGTTAATGTATAATTGATAACAATAAATTATCTTACTTTTATAATTTTTTTCCAAAATTATCTTTATATTATTTTTCTCTCATAATCAATATTTTTCTTTTTCTTAATCAATTAAAGTACATATCTTTTAAACAATTTATAATTAATGTATTTCATCAAATTAAAATAACATATCTCAATTAAAGATATTTCTATCTAAAAATAATTAATACATGAAATAATATGTATCAGGTCAAATATAAAAAAATAAACAATTATTTTAACTTGAATCTTATAACTAAGAATGAATGTAGGAATTTATTTTATAAAATTAAATATATTAATTGTATTTCTTAATTTCATTGTAAAAATCCTAAACATCAAAACAAAATAAAATAAATGAAGTATTAAGCATTTTACTAATTTAAGGTGATTTTAAAAAGAAATAAAAAAATAAGGCACATCTATTAATCTTTACATAGGGTGACCTATGATTCTTCTAAGTTTAAAAGAAAAAAAAAAAAAAAAAAGAACAAGAGATTCATAGTATGTGCAAATCAGGATTACATGATTTTAGTTTTACATTAGATTTATTTTTGGGGCAATGTAAACCTATTACATATAAAATGTAATGACTGGATAATGAAATGTGAAAGAACTTTTGTTTATTTCTTACGTGTGCCATTAAAAACGTGTCCACCTTTTAAAAAAATTATACATTATTCTGTGTTGCACTTTAAAATAAATGTATATGAAAGTTCAAATTAATAATGCATTTTCATGCGAATCTCTCTATTCCCTTCTCTACATTTTAGGATAAAAGAATGATACATAAATAGCTCATTGGATAAACATGAGAGAGAGAGAGAGAAAATTAAACATTTAAATGCAAAATCTCAATTAAAATATCCAAAAATATTGTGTACAAATAAATATTTCAAAAAATATAAAACATATTTACTCTTCTAAATAACTTTATTTATTTGTTTTTTGAAATACTCCTAGTTGCATAGAATAATAAAAACATTACAAAATATATGAAGAAAGTATATTATTGGCACTAACAGCATTCATAAAAATGACGGGGACAGTAAGTGTGTGGCATCTTGCAGGTTAAACTAAGAGCCAACTACCTAACTGTACACTTATTAGGTAGGGCTTCCCGTCCTATACCCGAAACATGAATAGAGAAGGGAGAATATACAAGTGCATACATATCTTGCACTTTAATTTCTTCTCTCAGTATCTAGAGTTTATTATTTATTTTTTTATAGGTTTTCTCTAGAGTTTATTTATGAGTACAAAGGGACTAAAAATTAATCAATTTACAACAATTTTCCAGGTTGAATTTCTTGCCATCTTATCCTTATGGATGCTCACGTAATTTTTCTTGGTTTAAGTCTCCAATTACTTTCTTCCAGAACCAATGATTCTCAAACAGAAGATGAATCTCTTCAATTGGAACTTGTTTGGTTTCCGGCAAGAAGAAGTAAACACAGCAGCTCATAATGAAAATCAAGCCCCCAAAGAGCAAGAAGATCCCAAACTTAAGGTGGCAAAGTGACACAAGGAAGAATTGTGCCACAAGTGCTGTGAAGATCATGTTAACACACACCACAACACTCTGTGCAGCTGACCTTATCTCTAATGGGAAGAGCTCACTGGGAACCAACCACCCCAGAGGACCCCATGATCTTCCATATGCCAACACAAACAAGAAAATCACAATAACCAAAAACACACCAACCCCAAATGGCAGTTCTTTGCCTTTTCCAAACTCAAGAGCCAAAACAATTGTTGTAGCAACCTGCACATGATCAAAATGCTCCAATTAGCAACAAATGTATGAGCAATAATTTTTTGTCCAATCATAAACTGAACTGTCATGTATAGAAAATTTACTGACTTTTATAATAATTATCTTCAAAAGTCATATAAATGGTTATAGTAAGATTATGATTCCCATTGCATTTATACAAAACAATTTAAGGAAATGTGAAAGGGTGGTTACCATGCAACAGAACATTTCAGCACCAGCTTCCAAAAAGAAAGCTCTTCTGCCAAACTTGTCAACAAAGAACATTGAGATCAAGGTGGCAAAAACAAGTGCCACGCTAGTAATGATTGTTGAATATAGAGCAGCACCAGAGCCAAAGCCTAAAGTCTGGAAAATGACAGGAGCATAGAAGAGGATGGAGTTATTGCCAGTTAGCTGTTGGAATGCAGGAATAGCCAAGGCTCCAATTATAAACTGGGGTCTGTTCTTTTTCAAGAGGAGGTTCTGGAATGGGTTGCTGATGGCCTCTGCTTCTTTGCTGGCCTCAACAAGATCTTCATATTCAGCATCCACATTAGGGGTACCCCTAACTCTCTCCAATACCTTTCTCCCCTCTTCAAATCTTCCTTGTTCCACAAGACTGTTGGGTGTCTCCGGACACATCAAACCACCAAAAAACATGACAGTTGCAGGAACTGTGGCTAAACCAAGGGACAATCTCCACCCCCATGGATGGAGTTGCTCAGTACCATAGTTCACTAGGTTAGCAATCAAAATTCCCAAGCAAGTTGTCAATTGAAATAGTTGATTCACTGCTCCTCGGACTTTTGCAGGAGACATTTCTGACAGGTACAATGGAACAGCCTAAACAATAAAAAGTTTAACAACAATAAATAAATAAAGAGTTTAATTGCTATATCCACTTAAAGGGTAAAATACTTTCTGGTTGGTTGATAATGTAAAAGTTTTATACTGAATGTGTATGACCATTTAAGACATAAATAAATATATAAAATAACATTTAATTTTGATGACAAACACATGATTAATTATTTTGGAGCATTAATTGAACTCACTTGGTTACCAAATCCAATGCCTACACCAAGAAGGACACGCCCAATGATCAACATTGCAATGTTCTTGGCAGCAGCATTTAGGACAGCTCCTATAAAGAAGCTTATGGAACCAACAATGATACTGGCCCTCCTGCCTCTGTTTTTGGTTACGCTAGAAGCACCAAACGTGGACACCAAGGCCGCAAAGTACAGAGAGGAAGTAAAGAGTGTCAACATTTGATCATCATATTTGCAATAATCTGTCTCCTGAAGATGTGAGTGCTTCCTCTCGTACACATGGGGGAAGAATTCTATAAGGAAATCATCCATGGAAGTAACTCCACCTGAAAGGATAATTCATCAACTTCCTAATAATATAATGTTTATACTCTTCTTCACGAGTTATCGTGTCATTTTTGGAATTTTATCTGAGTGATCTATTTGACCACTGATACAAAATACAACTTATCGAGGTGAAACTCAAATATTTTCCTATGAATCCAAATGTAAGTTTTAATCCTAATATAATGATATGGTATATATTAATGTGACAATGTGAGCATTGAGAATTGAAATGACCTGAAACACCAAGATCATATCCAAAGAGAGAACCACCAAGAGCCCCAACGATGCAAGAAAAGATGAAGTAGCCTGTAATCTTGTATTCATAAAGATGAGCCCTCTTGAGAGATCCTGCGTCCACAAGTGCTCCCCCTGCCATTTTATGAAGCTGTGTTCTCTTAGTCTTCCTTCAGGGTGATGCCGAAAGGAGAGACAGAAGTAAGAACTGTGCTCCGACAAATCCATGTTGGAGGCCTTATATACATGTCTATATCCACTTTTAACGGGACACAAACCCGTGTCATAAGGAAACCACTATTTATTATTACTTTGACGTAAAAGACCGTTAATCGAGTCTTGATCGGATAGGAAAATAAGGGAAAACGAATGAAAGAGAAGTTGTGTAGTAGAGTAATTCAACAAGACACTCTGTGACTAAAATAGCAAGTTTTTCAACCACGCATCACTCGTTAACTCTATTTGCCATTCTCACATCAAATTAATTCAACTTATACCACCTTCTCCCACATTTCAAATGTGTAATATGTATTTTACGCCTTTTTTTAAATGCTCGTATAAAAGGGAAAAAATTTTAAGATCATTTCATAAGGGATTATTTAGCTTAACCAATGGTCTTGATTTTTAATGTGAATATGTAACTGTATTAAATCCTTAGAGGAAAAATTTTGTCATCAATAATAATTCTACTCAATTTAAATAGATTGTTTTCAGTAAACCATACATATGATCATTAGCAATTGTAATTTTTGATAAATTTTGGCTAACAATAAAGAGTTTTAGATAGAGTATCACTAACATTCCTCTCATACAATATTTTTAAAATTGGATCGGTTATTGAACTAATCTAGAATCATGCTTAAATTATTATCAAATCGATATTAATAAAATAATAATCATAAATTATTATTATCATTACAAAAATAATATTAAATAAATATAATATTATAATTTTATAACACTAAAAATTAAATTAAAATATTATTTATAAATTTTCAACATTTAATGTGTTATAATATTTAAGTTCTAAATAAAATATTAAATAATATTTAAGTCTAAATTTATACATGCACAAATAAAAAATAAAATAAAACTACACATCCGCAATCGATATGTATTTGTTATAGAATAAAATAAAGAGGAAAATGTTAATCAGCACTCTAAGGTTAGGAGACCGATCACCAAGACCCAAATAAAATAAGTGTAATGGGAAACATCATAATAATTTTATTTAAGATACACAAATTTATTGTTTATTAATTTATGTATAAAAATCGTAAACGACTAAAATATTTAAAATGAATTGAAGTAGTGTGTTGAAATTTAAAATCTTAACCAATAATTTTTTTATTATTAATTACTAGTGAGATCAAGGTACTTTGTGTCTTTATTAAATATATAATAAAAATAAAAATTAAATAATAAATATATGTTGATGTAATGTTATGATTAGTCAATTAATTTTAAAGTCTTGATTTTAATAAAAAAAATATTATTTTTTCTAATTTTTTTAAATGAAAAAATATAATTATTAACAAAATGTGAAGATTAAAGTAGTTATTAAAACGAGTATTCTCTTATATATATTAGTATATCTTATATATATTAGTATAGATTATATTAAATTTAATATAGTCATATGCACAAAGTAGTGTAATTGTTTTATTGTTTTTCCATTCTCACGTAGTCAAGGGTTTAAACATGAAAATTAACAAGATTTTACTTCTCCTAAATGTTAGATCACTTAGATGTTAAGTTTATAGGAATTTCTGACAGAAAAAAATAAAGTTAAAATATGAAAAAATGGGTACAATTACCAAAATTGAGCTATTAAAAATGAACCAATGTCAATTACTAGTGTCAACACTTTAATTCCACGTTAGCAGTTTAGCACAGGCATTTCAACATTTTACATACGCAATAACATTTTATCAAATATTAGATTTTAAGTTGATAATAAATCAAAATTACATATCTTTAAAATATGCATACTAAAATTAATAATAAAAATTTGAGAAACTAAAACTATCCGTTTTAAAAATATGTATACTAAATTTTAATAATAAAAATTTGAGATACTGAATTATTTGAACACTATAATTATACTATAGAATCAAAAGTACAATTCACTATTTTTCAAATCTGGACAACTTATCTTTCATTTCTTTTTCTAAATAGGTGTGTTTGTTGGTCATGCAGGGGTCAGGTATTGACCCAAGTATATCTAATTAATAAATGCATCCACGTTTCTGTCACACGTCCACTTCTTATTTATCTTTTTTCCTTTGACATGCACATAAAATAAAATTTAAGGTATCTCAATGATATACGTAAAAACAAAGTCCAAATTTCTCATGTAATAAAAATTGAACTTGGATATGACCAAAAAAAAATTGCTAGCAATATAAGCTTTAACATATTCTTTTAAAACTAATTTATTTTGACAACATTACGAACAACATTTCATGTAAATCATATCCTACTACATAGGGAGATCTAAAGAAATTTACTCAAAAACAGCGTGTTATTATGTTACTAATATTTTTTATTACAAGATTGAGTGTGTTTAAATTTGAATTGTCATTTCAGAGACACCATCCCTTTACACTTTCCAAAGCAGATAAAAACAACATTGTTGGATCCTTAAATACAGCAGGTCATTCGCTTTATAGACACACTCTTAAATGTGGCAGAAGGATTAACATTTGCTACTGTCCCCAAAAATGCACTTTCCTCACAATTCTTGGTTTTCATTTGCATGCCGAACAAACTCCTCAGGGGTCATGTGAGAACCATGACATGCACAAACAATCCTGATTTGATTAGTGTTGAATTTATAAGTAACACCAGATATTGTCCTACCATTGGGGCCTGAGCCAGTTGTGGATACCCAAGGTAGGTTTGGACATGAACCACCCCCGCCAAATTTCACATCTGCAGCAAGACCTGGCTTAATAAAAGAAAAATCAATTGATGACCCTTCTCCTGTTGACTGCTCTGGTGCAATTTTTGCTGGCTGTGAGGAGTTTTCATCAGTGACATGCTGTTTTGAGTGTTTACCATCTCCTTTGAATCTTTCTAATGGTCTTCCTTCGTATGTTGTTCTCTCAGATATATTATTTGAGATTGCACGTATGGCAGCTACATCCATACATAACAGTAACATCAGTACAAGACACGCTAATGGAAAAAACCTCAAAAGTGGCATTGGGCATTAAAATATGCATTGAGCTACTTATAGTAATTACAACCTCATATTTTATCATTGAACAGACAGACAAGCGGAAATGTGATCAACATCTTTGGCCTAAACGGGGCCTTATTTAACATCCCAGTTTTCTATTGGGATTTTAGAATATTTTGCTTAGTTATCAAGTCAAGGTTGAGATACGTGCGCAGATATCCATATTTATGTGCTCTAAAACATAAAACATACACATACCCTTAACTCATGCATTAGAAGCTTGGTTATGAAGATATATCCAATCCATATCATGATTACCTGTGTTTGATGGAGCCCTCCCAGAAAAGGCAGGGTGTAGCTGCAGAGGACGAGAAACGAAACCCTGTTTGTTGTCATTATCCAACATCGGAAGCTGGAGAGAAGAATAGCCAAATACCACTGGCAAGCTCCCATTACTCACAGGTTGGGATCCTGAAAGTTCACCAGTTGCAGTAGGCATCACTCCATATATTTGAGGGTTTAGTGCACGAACAGAGTTGGACTCTTTTGCCAGTGGTGGGTAAGGCGCATTGATCATATTAACTTGTTGGAGACACAAGGAAGCATCACAAGTTAAATTAGCATGCTTAAAATCGTTTTCTGTTGAAGCAGTAAACTTTTTCTCCCCATTAAAGTCGGTGACAGTTGAGTCAGCAACTCCGCAAAAATCTTTTTGAGCCTCGGAAGAAACACCAACTCTAACAAATTGTTTAGTACCATCATTTTGGCATGAGATAGGTCTAGAGGTGAAGTTCTCGGCTTCAGAATTTGCTACAACTTCATTTTCAGAAGGTGAGACATTTGTCATAGAAACGTGTGATGTTCTAGCCTTGTCATGTAAATCAGCATGATAAACATCATTTTGCTTCTTTTGATTATTTATCTCATCAAAAGACATTTTTCGTTTAATTCCTTTGTCTAACTGCTTATCTTCCTCAACATGAAGGGGTTTGTTGCTGTTTGCAACCCAAAATCCTCTCCTATTCAAATTCAAAGAAGCATTCTCTTTTGCCTTTGAAATGTCGTTAAAAAAGTTCTCCTTAGGTTTTGAAGGATCAGTTTGTGTGTCATTAACTGAATCTGGTTTCTGAGGACCAGCATCAAACATGCTTTTGAAGTCATCAACCATTTTGCCATTTCGAACATCTTCTGCTCTAGTATCTGAAGAGCTACCATTTTTACTCTTGGGTCTGACAGACGAGCCACCAAAAGATAGACCCAAACTGAGCTCAAGTCCATTTTCATCCTCCATATTATAATATTTAAGTCAATCAAAACAGGTCAGACATAATTTCTTTCCAGCTCGATTATCTAATGTCTCATAATTTCGCCATTGATACTCATCAAACAGCCAGCTTGAAAGAAAATAAGGCAAAACATATCAAATATCAATTGCATATCACATGCTAACATGTGGATGTAAAAACAAAATTCATTCCTATGTCAGCAGGACAGTGTTAGATTCTATATTAAGACCAGATTGGCATTTAGTGAAATTGTCCAATAGATACATAAGTTGCATCCCAATAATTCAGACATGCAATGTAGGAACTTCGAACACCCAGCTCCACAAATGTCTGCCAAAATAGGCAATTTACCAAGATGAGCTATAGGCTTTGATACCATGATAGATTTTATCTTAAAACCAATTGAAATTAAATGAAATTGTCCAACAAATATGTAAGTCACATCCAAGAAATTGAGACGGACAATGTGAGATCTCTCAACATGCAGAACATTTTCATTCATAAAAATTTCATGGATTTAAATTGCAGAACACATGCGTCACAAGGTCTGCATTTATAATTCCTTTACAGTTAACAGTCAGAATCAACCAAAACTACAAAATTCATTCGACTTGAAATCAACCACAAATTTAGGATGCACATGTAAGGCACAACAATAATGACACAATGATATACCAAAAAAAAACCTTAAAAAAACACACCTTAAAGATATAAACACAAAGCACAAAGCCTAACACGTGCCTGCGTGTTTGAAATATAAGCATTAATTATTAAAATATAAAATATATATTGTAACAAAAAATATATAAAATATATATAAATATAAAAAATTAAAATTAAGTTTTTTATTTTTGTAAATATTAAAAATATAAATTAATTATTTTAATAATTAAATAATTTAAATTATAACAATAATTAAGTAACAAATTTAAAATTATACATTTAATGAAAAAAGTAATTTAATTATTAATTTTTCTATTTATAAGTTTTTTCTTATTCATTCTTTTTTATACATTATTTATATTATAATATAATTATTAGCTTATAATTTAATTTGTTTAAAAATATATAAATAAATTAAAATTCTAAAAAAATGTGTTCTCCGTGAGTTTATCTCCCACAAAATCCAATGAAGACGAGAATGGGTTTTAAAATAATAAGCTTGTATCTTTGAAATATGAATCCAAACCCAGCCCACGTTTTTTACGGAAATGCAAAACCGCCTCCGACCCCTGTTGCCAACTTGCCATCCCTTAATATGTAGCCATTCATAGTACATATCTTAAAGACAACCAAAGCCCCACATTGATATTTTAAAAGCTAACATCAGTCATTATGATAGACACAATAAATCCCATATGTATTATCATTATAATAATTAAAAAATTGTACTAAACACACTAGGATAAAGCAAAACCAAAATAAAGTAATTGGGTTGAAATGATTCATAAAACCTAAATAATCTGTCAAATTTAGAAAGAGTAGAGAGACTCGACTCACCTTAATTGAGGTGCAATTCTTTTACTCCGCTCACTGAAGTGGTGCTTGAATGATTGGAAGGTCAAGGCTAAGGTAATTGAGCTGAAAAAGCTCTTCTATTTTCTCATTGATTTAGAAATTTGGGTATATTAATCCATGGCTTGAAAGTTGAGGGAAAATGAATGGGTCTCCTATTAGAATTTCCAAACTCGCTCTGTGGGTGGATGTTTGGAAAAAAATTATTGAAACAAATGCGAAACTGATAATAAATAATAAAAGAATGAAAATTTGAAAATGAAGGGAAAAATATGTGAAGAAGAACAGAGTTAGAACATGAGAAGAACAAAACCCTAATTGGAAGAGGAGCAAAGATATCAAACCCTAGCTCATCAAGTCCCTATTTGAAGTGATTGAGAAGAGAACACAAACAAAAATTTGCAAAAATGGAAAATAAATAAATAAACAAATTGCGCATGTGCTTCTCGTGTTAACATTCAAAGATTTGTGCGAAAAACCTTCTTGGAATTATCTATACTGAAAATTATAGTTTTATAAACAAGTTTGTTAAGAATATTATAAATATCCTTAAAAAAATATTAAACTAAATTGTATTTTTTATTTTTATTTTTATCAATTTATAATTTTGGTCTTTTATTTTAAAATAAATATATTTAGTTTTATATTTTTTAAAAATATGTAATTTTAATCTTAATTTCAATTTAATATCAATCGAATTATGATGTTTTCTAGTAATTTATTATTATTTAAGTAACATATATTTAGTAATATGTTTATGAAAAATATTTTTATTTATAAATATTCTTATGGGTTGATTATGAGTAATTATATTTATATTAAATAATTTTATTTTGTCTAAAATAGAAATTTGGTTCCTTATTTTTTATTTTAAGTTTCAATTTGATTTTTTGAGTTTAAAAAGTTTAAATTAAATATTTTAAAATATTTTTATTAATTAAATTAGTTTTTCTAACAAATTTAATCAATTCACAATTTGTAAGACCTGCAGTCCTACACTCTCTCTTTCTCTTTTCCCTTTTCTCCTTTTACTTTCTTCTTCTCTCCAAGCCTCTTAACCTTGTTTTTGATTTCCTTTCTCTAAGGCTGAGGTAGTGAGCACCAAGGTGGTCCATCAACCCTTTTTCATCTCTTACAAACGCAAAGCCGTGTGAAGCTAGCTAAGAGTTGAATCCTTTTCTTCTTCCTTTCCGTTTCCCCAGAGCTTGGATTCTTCTTCTCCGAGGTAAAGGAAGTTAGTTTTCTGCGGATGGGTTATAAATGAGTTTAGAGACTCATTTTGATGCTTGAGTTTAGGAGATTGAAGGTCAGATTGAAGAGTTGCTCGTTTTCGGAGTTTTCGGGAAAATTGGAAAAAAATGGGAATTTCTAGGTGTTTGATGGTTGCATGTTGAAAAGGAGTTGATTTTTGAGTTGTATGCTGTAAATGTAGTTCATTTGATGGATGTGTTTGAGCTGGATGATTTTGCAGGTTTTGGGGAAAATTTTCGAAGTGATGAGGGTTACTGTTTGAAATTGCGCCGGGCACAGTTCTTGGCGCCAGACGTGCGTTCATCAGAGGCCACCATTGTCTTTTCACACCAGGCGCAAAGCTAGTCGCGCCGGGCGTGATTTGAAATGGGAAATTCCTGGGTGAATCATGCCTGGGGAGAACCACGTCGGGCGCACTATCAGACGTGAGTCTTGTGTTTTGTTACTGATATGGCGCCGGGCGTGATCGGAGCACGCCGGGCGTGGAGACCCATTATGAGTCTCTGTCTGGGATTGCGCTGGGGGCAGGTTAATTGCGTCGAGCGCGGAGACTTGTGTAGGTCTCTGGTTGAGTTTGCATCGGGCGTGATTTTAATGCGCCGGGCGTGAGTATGTTGGTCTTTGAGTCTTCATGAAAGTTGTAGCCTTGGATGTTAGCTTTCCAATGGCACTGAAATCACCCAAAAAGGAGGTATAGAACTCCAGATATGGTTGTTTTAGTAAAGAGAGGTCAAGCTGCCAGCATTGGTTATAGCTATTGCGGTTTTTAGAATTTTTAACAAGGTAGATGGAGGAATTAGGACTTGGTGTCTTCATGAGAGTTGTAGGAAATCTTCTTATCTTTCATATGAGATAAGGATGAGCATGATAGGAGTAACTCCCGATATTCTGTTTTATGTAAAGGTTGCCATTTCACAAGGAGTGATTTGGATAAGTCGAAGGCTGTCTTGGGTGCGTAGGTTAATTAATGTTGTATATGTTGTGTAGGTTGACCTGATAGATGAGTCGTAAACATGATGGGTGGGTTGTATTATGTGTTGAATATGTTGTATGTTGTGAAGTTGTTAATCATGTTGTTAATGATGTTAAGCTAAGCTGTGTTGTATGTTGTTTATGTTGTTAATGATGTTAAGTTGAGCTGTGCTGTATGTTGTTTATGATGATTAATGTTGTTATGCCGAGCTGTGTTGTATGCTGTCTAAGCTATTAATGTTGTTAAGCTGAGCTGTGCTGAGTGTTGAATATGTTGTTTAAAATAGTTGAGTTGTGTTGTTGAATATGAGCTGTGTAGGCCTAAGGCTAAGCTGTGTAGGCTGTAAGGCTGAGCTGTTGATCACTAAGACTAGAGGATATGTTTTTCGAAGTTGCTCATCCCTTTGTGTGGATTGAGGAAGCTGTGATGCTCTTAGAGTCCAATTTGTTGAAAACCCTCATTGGGAAGCTGTCCCTTGGAGTGGTCACTATGTTGTTCTCTTCTAAGTACTTAGTTGGTCCTGTGTGTGAGCAAGGTCGAGGTACACGTGTACAAAGCGACCACGGTATAGGGGTCAGGTCGAGCTATACCGCTTATAAGCGACCAAATCTAGTTGAAATGCGTGACGACGCATAAGCTGTTAGATGTTGATTCTGCTGAATGATATGAGTTGTATGTGTGCCATATGTTGTGAAGTTGAAATGTAGATGTATGTTGTTATGTGTTGTTTGTTAACCTTGATGAAATTGATGATGGGCTATTAAGTTGAAGCTGTTTAAATTCATTTACATGTTGATTTTTTTTACTAGTTTACCCTTGTCTGTTTTCATGTGGGTTGAACTGCAATGATCATACTATGTATAGGAGCAGAGCAGGGATAAGTTGGAGTGTAGTAGCAGGACTACAACTGGCAGATGGAGCTGATGTTTTGTTATTTATGGCTACTTAGTGTAGCTAGGTTGATATTTTTTTGTACATTGACTTGTTGAGCCCCAGGCTAAACCTATATATATATATTTTATATTTATATGCATACTCTATTATGGGTAGTGTTATTTATTGTGCAACAGCTAGGCGAGTCGTTACACAATTGGCTTCATATCATTAAATAAACCAAATTAGTGAATAAATTGATGAAATAACCAATTTAAGGGAGTAAAAATAAATAAATTAAGAGATCAAACTAACATTTTAAAATAAAAGTAAGAAACTAAAGTTATATTTTGACTATTTGTTTTTAATAATATATTGTATCATTAATTTTGTTGTTTGAACTTAAAGACATTAGAATGGTTCAACTCAAAAGATTAATTTATTATATAGGAGAATTCCAATAATTAAGTATCTCATTAAATTTTATATTTCTTTTGAATGAATATAATTTTTTTTGAAAGATTAACTTTTGAACCTTGGTAAAAAAAGAGTAAATGTTAACTACCATTTTGTGAACTTAATTTCTTTAATTATTATTAATCGATGAAATTCATCTCTTTGACTAAGAAAAAATAATCCAACTTTATAAATATTGATCCAACATTTAAATTAAAATAAAAATTATTCATAAGGATTAAAATCGGTACTAATTTTTTTATTATAACAATTCACACACGTCAAATATTAGTATTAATTTGATTGAAGGATTTTTGGAAGTTGATTATGAAATGATTATCGAAGTGATATATGAATGTGGTGGTGTTTGTTTTGTAGGGTGTGTGTAGGGTGAGGGATCTTTGTCAGCTTTTTGGCGTTGATTTTTGTTTTGTAGGCAATTATATGGACGGAGAGGTTCCAAGCCAGCGTCATCTTTCTACGCTTCATGATTCTGGAGGATGCTTCAAGATAATAGACGTTAGTTATTTCACTCTAAATTTATAAAAGGTTAAAATATTTTTAATATATACAATTTCACTTATTTTTATCTATTAACATATTTTTTTTTTAATTTCTAATAATCAGATTTACAAAATTCATATTTAATATAAAATTATTTAGCAATATAATACTTAGTAAAAATTACACTAGTATTATTATAACCTTCCTCTCTCTATATATATAGTATAAAAATAATATATCTTAAAAATAATACAAATGATTAATATCTTAATTAATAACTTTGAAGCTCAAATACACAATCAAATAATAAAAATCTTAATATTTTAAAAAATAATTTGCAAGTTCTGCAGGCTAACTTGTAAGTTTGTGGATTAGTCTATCAAGTCTTTAGATTTTGGAGATTAAGCTAAAAAATTAAATATAATTATACAATTTTTTTTAAAAAAGTCCATTATTTGTAAGTTTAATAGTTCAGCTCATAAATCTGGTCATCAACCCATTCCCTATTATAATATAAGGTTAATAAGTTACTAAATTATTTGATTTTTATAACATTTATTTTTCATAAATTCTTACTTTATAGATCATCATTTTTAAACATCAAATTTGGTTAGATGTAATTGAACTTGATTCTCCAAGTATAAAGTTCATCGTATTATTTAGCCTTTTATTAAGAATCTTGTGGACTTGACATGCATGCTAACGTTAAAAATTAAAATGGGTTTAAAATTTAATGGATATAAATAAAATAAATCATCTATAAGTTATTTGAGTTTGCCTTATTAAAATTTTCTTTACTTAATTAAATAAAATTTGTCATTTTTTAAATTATTAATTCATGATCATGTAAAAAATAATAACTCCATTATTGATTTTACAAAAAAATTTATGACGTTCCCTCAAAAAATTTTTTTATGACGTTATTAAAATCAAATTTAATACTAAAAAGCTTATAACAATCATGCATTCTATTCAACTAATTAAATTAGACTTTATTTGTCAATTATTTAAGTGAGTTAAGCTTAAATTTTATGAACTCAACATTAATAGCTCATAAATAACTCATATATTTAAATTATTGACGATTACTTTATTATGTTTTATGAAAATAAGTAGTGTATTGTAGTAAGTACTAAAATAAATCTTGAAGTTTGTTTCTTGCAGTAATTATAAGTAGTTTTGAATTTTTATATGTTGGAATATGAAAATGTAATGATCTAAAATGTTAAATTCCACATGTCACATATTAAACAAATATTTCTATTTCGTAAAAAAATATTTTTATTTATAGATTATTATATTATTAATTAAATTGATAAAAGTTTAAAATAATTTAAGAAAAATTATTCATAAATATAAAAATATTTAAGTTAAACAAGTCAAGTCTAAACTATTAGCTAACATCATTCGTAAGACAAAATTAAATTTAAAATGTTTGACTTACTCAACTCACTGGTGTGTTTGGATGAAGAATTTTACAAATTCAAGGAATTTTAAATTCTTGGTATTTGAATTACTTTGATTTCAATTTTCATCATTCTTAAAATATTTTGTTTGGATAAGTCAATTCAAATTTCTCAAATTTTAAATTTATGGGTTAAATATGATAATTTGATTCTACCATGATAAATTTGATTTTAAAAATATATTTATATGTTGAGATTCTTAAATTAAATTTTATAAAATTAAATATTAACTAATTTTTAAATATTTAATAATTTTAAAAATTAATATTAGATAATATTTAATAATTTTAAAAATATTTTTAAATATTCAGTAATTAAAAATATGAAGAAATATGAGATAAGATAAAATATATAAGTGAAATATGAAGAAAAAAAATATGAGGAATTTCAAATTCTTACTTTTTTGGGAGAATTTAAAATTTTACTATTTAAAGGAATTTCACAAATACTTGAATTTCAAATTCTTTATAAATTCTCCATCCAAACAAGGTATTTAACCTCAAAGAATTTGAAATTCTTCAAATAAATGAGTTACTCCATTTAAATTTCCCATCCAAACACACACTAATAAATTTTAGGTAAGATTTGAATCTACGGTCACATGTTATCATACAAATATAAGAACTACTAAAACACTTACTTTATTTAATATTTAAATAAAAGTATATTATATATAACTTAAATGTGTGGAAACAAAAGTTACACAAATATTTATTACTACTAAATAAACAATATAATATTATAACATTAAATCAATAATAAATTATACTTTTTAATATTATATATCTTAATAATCACTCAATAACTATATTAAATATTTCATCTCTTATATTTATTTATATATTTTAGTTACTAAAATAGTATATTATTATTGAAATAATAATTTTTTTTCTTCTGTATTTTCTTAAATTTTGTTGCTAAATGTAATTATATATGTTTCCATAACTAATTTTCTAGAATAACCTTTTTAATTTCAGTATATATCATTTTCAATATAATTATACATCTATATTTTTTTTTCAATATATTTTCTTTCATTATCTAATATTCATGTTTTAACATAGAAATTATTATTAAAAAAATCATTAAAAAAACACAATTTTATAAACGAAAAAATATTTAAAATAGAGCAATTAAAGTATTATATAACATAATATTAAAAGATATAAGTTACATTATTTTTTTTTATCTTTCAGATCGAACTTTTAATTATATGCTTGAGAGCAATATTATTTATCGACAATGCCACAGTTTGTTGATAAGATGATATACTATATTGATTATTATTATTATTATTATTATTTTAATTTCTAAAGGCCATTTAAAATGAATTTAATTTAGTTATTAAAGAAAATATTCAGAGACGTTGAATCGAAAATGATAGGGAAGCATCGTAGAATGAAGGATGAAGGAATAAGAATATGTAATGTAAATGGTGCAAAGCAAATTGAGAAGTTACGACTCACTCCCTTTGTTATCCACAAACAACACAAGGAAAAGAAAAGAAAGCCAAATGGTGAGAGTGGTTCCCATGGCTTCTTCGATTCGACCCACTCTCTCCTCCCTTAGGTTCTCACCACCGCTTTCTTCTTCTTCTTCTCGTCTCTCTTTCTTCCACCTCCCCTCTCGTAAGTTCCTTTTAACGCTTATTTCACGATTCAATTATTTGATCATTCAATAATTTGACGGACTAAAATTGACTTTGCGTTTGGGTGCAGTGTCTCAATCCCATAGTTTTGGCCTGAAAGCTTCCAGAGTGATGAGACAGGATGGTAACTCCGCCAGAGTCATGGCATCGGGGAACGTGCCTCAGTCAGTTGCAGCTGCTTCACCAGAAAATGTGCTCGAGTGGGTCAAACAGGACAACCGGAGAATGCTTCATGTTGTGTATCGTGTTGGGGACTTGGACAGGACCATCAAGTATGTATATCTTGTCATTTCCCAATTAACTTCTGTTTCGATAATTTTTTTTAGATAACTACTTATAGGAGAAAACAAATAAGAAAGATAAAAGTCTATTTGGATATGAGATTAGAATAGCTTTTGATAACTTCTTTGCTTAAAAATAAAATTCATAGAGAAATTCTCAAAATCACCTCTAACTTGTGTCTTATATCTAAACATGTTCTAAAATGAATTAAGTTTCTTTTCCCACAAGTTTAAATTAAATTAGGTTTCGCCAAAGTTAACTTTTGGAGAAGCAAAGTGAGAGGGCTTCTATTATATTGACTGACAAACACAGATGAGTTTGTTTGAATAAACTTCTAAGTACTTCTAAGAGAGAAAAATAAGAATAAAATGTAAGACAAGTTAATTTGTAGCAGTTATTTCTTATTAACTTATTCGGAATCTTATTTTTTAACTTATGCATAAGATAGTTTTAACTCATTTTTCTTATTTTTTCTTCTAAAAACACTTATGAAGAGTTTATTCAAATAGGCCATATTCTTGTGGAGTGCATGCTTACACTCGATGGTTTCAGGTTTTATACAGAGTGCCTAGGAATGAAGCTCCTCAGGAAGCGGGACATACCAGAGGAGAGATATACTAATGCCTTTCTTGGATATGGGCCCGAAGACTCGCACTTTGTTATTGAACTGACATACAGTAAGGATCTGACTATGTTGACAATGACATTCCTCTTGTAATGTGCAAAACCAAATCTACTCGATGACCTTTCCAAAAAAATTATAGGACTTTGGCTCTTTATGAACTAAGCTAGACCTGCTTATGCAAAGAAAGTTTTCAATTATAGTTTTTCGTTTAACAATGTTTCAGATTATGGAGTTGACAAGTATGATATTGGAACTGGATTTGGCCATTTTGGTATTGCTGTTGATGATGTAAGTTTTCCAAACTTTACTGCCCACTACTATCCTTTTTAACATCTTTGACTTTAACCTTTCATTCTTGGTGAGTTGGTGGACTTTATTCTCAATTTCAAGGGATTAGTCATTAGTCAATTTACGTCATATTTATTCTCTTGTGGATGGAGTGTCAAATGGAGGTGCAGTTTTGGTTGTCATTTAGGATTTCCTCTCTGTTGGCCTTTTGACAAACATATATATTGGAATTTCTTTGTCTGGATGATTCTTTGTTAGGTTGCAAAAGCAGTGGAGCTAATAAGAGCTAAGGGTGGCAAAATAACCAGAGAGCCTGGTCCTGTAAAGGGAGGGCGTTCAGTAATAGCATTTATTGAAGATCCTGATGGTTACAAATTTGAACTTATAGAAAGAGGTCCCACTCCTGAACCTTTGTGCCAAGTAATGCTTCGAGTGGGTGATCTAAACCGATCCATAGAATTTTATGAGAAGGTGAGGGTCAATTCTGCTTTATGTTGTGGTTCAGACTTGTTTTCTTATTTTCTTTACTTAACGCTAAGGCATTTATGTGGTTGTTTGTCATATAGGCATTTGGTATGGAGCTGCTTCGTACACGAGATAATCCAGAGTACAAGGTATGATGGCTTCCCTTTTATGTAATTTTTTTTGTGACATATATATAATTAATATGCCTTGTATTTAACATTCAAAATGGTTAAATTAAGGTTTTCAGCATGTTTACTTGCACATCGAGGTGCAAATTGATGTGGATCCAATAAGCAACTAATGGTTGCTTTTGCGTTATTTTTGACATGATTTTGCTCTCAATGTAGATCCTTGATGAGAAAGCAAGATCACACTTAATAGATTGTGAAAATTTTCTATTATACTTCATGAAACCTATTCTGGAAAAATTAAGCTAGAGGATAAGAGAGTCCCTTCCTAATCAATATGATGATCCTTTATGCAGGGCTGTACTGCAAATGTGGCATTGTTCAGTGTGCTTGCTATGAATTTTGGATTTCTTGTTATAATACAATAGCTACTATTTTAGGCTTGATTCTCGCAAAAATATGTTGTTTTAGCTTCTTGCTATTTGATTGGTAGTGTACTACTATTAAAATATATTCATATCAGCATTATCTTGTTTTGAATGGAAGATAATTCCAAGTTTCTGTTTTACCAAATGCCAATTTGATCCTTTTATTTAACTGTGTGAAATCTTCTGAGCATGCAGCTATCAACACGAGATAAATATATTATATTTATGTTTTACCATCAAGGTCTTGTTCCATCCGAGACTAATACACCTGCAGCATGACCATGTACCCTATCATTTTTTAGATTACCTGAAAATAGGATGGCTTGATCTGCAAAATTTGTCTTAGTCCAGGAGAGTCTACGATGCCCCAAGCATAAGTACCCAAATAACTAAAAGAAAAAGTGTCTTTACATGGAGAATCTGTCAAAGTCCTTTCAGTTTGTTCACTCATGGATAATTCTGTGGAAATTTTCTGCAAATGAAACTGCCTTCTGCTCATATTTTTTCTGATTTATGCTTGTTTTGAAATATTTGTGTGATGGATACCTTTACAAGTTTTAGGTTTCCATCTTGCTTGCTTTAATGGACCCTAAATCGTTTCCCAACACTGGGTATTTGCTTGCCTTCATCTCACCTGTGATTCTTTGATGGCCTTGTTTTGGGCAGTATACCATAGCAATGCTGGGTTATGGGCCAGAAGATAAAAGTACTGTTTTGGAGTTGACTTACAATTATGGAGTCACTGAATATGATAAAGGAAATGCTTATGCTCAGGTAAGCAGAAGTTCCTCTCTTTCCTGATTCTTCTTTTTAATGGATTCTGCTGAAGTGGACCAAGTGGTTAATGAAAAATGCAATTGTTTCTTTTGTTAATCCTGTTCCCTCCCTGTCAGTGTCTATCTCTAGGTTCAAGTGACTCATGTTGAGCATTCTCAAGTCTCTAGATTCTGGAATATTGATTGCAGTTAGTTGGTACAACTGTTTTTGTCTTGTACAGCTGTCAGATTTTGGTAGAGTCTGTCAGGTATTTAGGACTTAGGAATCAGTTGAACAACTTGTGCTGTAGTATTCGGAGTCTAAAATATGGGCTCCACCACTTCTATTCAAGTTTTGAGAAATAGCAATATTATTTTTCTCTTAATTCTCACTCTCTCTATGTTTTATCTCTACATTTTTCTCTAAAATCTATAACTGTAATACCCTATTTACAGATTGCAATAGGCACAGATGATGTGTACAAAACTGCAGAAGTAATTAAACTAGCTGGAGGAGGAAAGATTACTCGGGAACCTGGACCATTACCTGGTATCAACACAAAAATTACTGCATGCTTGGATCCTGATGGTTGGAAGTCGGTATGACTCGTTGATCTTTATTATTTAATGTCTCCCCAAGGATTAAGCTGATAGGGAAAACTCATAAATGGTTTTATGTGTAATACATCCTTTCATGCAAGTGCTTGTTGGGCTTGAAGCTTGGATAATGCACAACTCAGTTTTCCCTCATGTGGATATTGAACTTATGTATAAAAGAATGAGGATTACAAAGATTGAACTCTTCACTGTTTTTTTAATGAAGGCTCTAATACCATATCAAAGACAAACTCTCTTAAAAAGATTATTTATATTTCTAACATGCCTCCTCAGCCTTTTAACAAGAACAGGAAGCCCGTTTTTACAGTAGATTGAAATTTAACTTTATTTAGAAGAATAAGGGTAACAGAGTGAAAGTTTGAACTACTTGGTCATAAAGGCCTTGATACTGTTAAATATAAAATCATTCATGTCTTTACCTAGCAATTCATGACATGATATCAAAGTTTTTATGATCGTATGGTTTAAAATTCAATCCTTGTTGGCCCACTTCTTCTATAAAATTAATTTTCAATACAACTTAGGACTCTTTTGTGAAAGGGTGGGTTAGATATAAAATCAATCACATGCCTTTATCCAACAGTTTAAGCTTTAAGTTGGTTCTTGTCAAATATCATGTAATTCACAAAAGCTCATTAATGATTTTATATCTAATGCCCAAAGGAGATCCTAGTTTTCTCATTATGATACCGTGCAATGGTATTTACAATATCAAAGTAGTAGTAATCTAATACATATAGATGGTAGAAAATATCACGATATCAATATTGGTAGGTTAATCAGAATTCACCCGGTATGAATGTATGATCAATGCCACCTAATTTTTACCAGTGATCATCATCATTTTCTTGTGTTATACTTATGCATTCAAGACGTAACAAGAGGTGGATGGTCTGTCTTCTGTTTGCTTTGGCATGACACATAAGAAAATATTGATGTTTTTAAGACAAAATTAAGGCTTTCACTCAAGTGTATGAAGTGTAAGCATGCATTTTTCGTCGTATGTTTATTTCTCAGTTCGTACTTCCATTTCGTTTGTTCGAAGATCTAGCGTCTTCGTGTTTATTCATTCTTAGTAAATCAGCATTTTGTGACTAACATTTTCCCACCTCTAATGTGCAGGTTTTTGTAGATAATGTTGATTTTCTAAAGGAGTTGGAATAGAATATTGAGGTAGATCATCGTAGCAATCTTGTGAGATCGGTATCAAAATCTATGGCAAAGAATTGGTATTCTTTGAAGAAAAATGTTGGCATCAGAGTGTATCATATTCAAATCCGATTTTGTAGATAATGTAATAAAGACAATAGCACCAACTCTGTAAGCTGTAGCAAATGTCTTTTACTAAATACAATGAAGCAAGCTTGGGAAACTTATGTCCTTTATCTCCATTTCTTTGGCCTTCGTGATTTTGGCTGCAGGGCAAACTTTGTCGTTGCTCACTCGGGATATTTCAGAGGCGTTCATGGAACATTACTCTTCTAATTCTTTTCAGAGTAATTTCTGGACACGGGTCGATTGAACCCAACCAGATTCATAAAATTATTAAATTTAATATCGTGAATTTTTATATTTTACCGTGGCTGATACTGTTAATCTTTTTGTTTTTGGACAGCAACTGATATTGTTAAAGTTTTTTTTTTTTTTTTTAATTTCGTACTAGAGGTTTAAAGTTTTATTTTAGATTAATCTGGATCATTGGAAGATAAGGAAGTTTATTTTAATTATAAATTATTCAAAATTTAACTCATACATAATACAATATTACAATAAAAGTCTTATCTCGTATTATATCAGACAATAATTAATATTTTTTATAAATAAAAGTTTTAGAGTAATGCGGAAATTTTAGGAATTTAAGTGGTGATTGCCTCTACGATCATTAAATTAAAGAACAGAGAAAATGGAACAAAAATTAGCTGCATTTCGGTAAAAAAAAAAAAAAAAAGCCTTTGTACGATCCAGCAAATTTGAAGATTTTAACCTTTTCTTTTTATAAAATTAAACCTTCCATTGAAAATTAAAATAAAATAGCGTTAATTTAACTTTTTTTTTCTTTTTTCCAAATCAAATGCAATTTAAAAAATTTCTAAAACAATAAAGTAACTTTGTAATAAGCAAGAGTAAAATAAAAAGTTTCTATACAAATTAATTATAAGCTTCTACTAATAAAGAAAAATACAAAAATAAAATTAAGACAAATGTCATCTTAAAAATTATCTTTAATCCTCGAGCATTGAAATAGAGATGTGTAATTTTTAGAAATAAAAATTCTACATTTCCCCTTTTATAAACTTTATCATCAATAAAATACATTTTAGATATTCAAATTTTAAATTAGAGTACAATACTTTAAATCTCTTTTATTTTCCACCAAGAATTTCTTCCATTTCTAAAACTATACAAAACTACCATTTTATAAATATAACACACTTGCATCCGAAGTTTTTTTTTTTTTTTTTTTTTTTAATAATGAAATTGACAACATCACATTCTTACAAATTTAGACTCATTACATAAAATTCCTTCTATTTATTAAACGTTGCTGGAAACCCAATTATATAAGTTAATTAACTAAAAAATATTTATTATTATTTTTTAACTTAAAATATCTTTTAATTATAATTATAAAACTAATTTGGACCGACAAAGTCTTTCAGTCTTACGTCTGATCAAGCATGCCTGCCATTAACTTGGTAAGAACTAGTGTGACTCAAATGATTTTATGAGTGAACCGCCACACGCGATCATTCTCTAAAGTTGCTGTAGTGTTTGATTTGGTCTTATCAAGCACAAAGCTTAGTCATTTGATAATAAATGTCTTACCAATGAATCATGTATTTTAATGTTATTATTCTCTACATAATATATATATATATATATATATTAAAGTATATTTTATTCATGCTTCCTTAATTATCATCAAATTAATATTAGATTCAATACTTGTGTGCGTTGCATGACTTATTTTGATAAACTGAGTGATTTGATATTTAACTAATTATATAATTAAAAATTAACGATAATAGTAAATATAAAGTATAACAATATTAAAAATAAGTAAAAATAATAATATTAAAAAATAAATATATACTAATTTCTTGTTTTAAATTATTGAAAAAAAATTTATAAACATTAGAACACTTATCTAAATTTTCTTCTTATAAAGGGAGAAAATTGTTCCTACCTGATACGAGACCAAGCATGAGATTTTGTCATATCAGGAGTGACAATCAACGAATTTCCTACTATAGTCACACCAAGCATGAGTTGAATAGTCTTAGATGTGATTTTTGAAAGTTAAATATTCTATTGTGTGGATATTAGTGTAGTGCTCTTTGAGCCGAGTTGTTGAAACACCCTTCTCGAGTACGTGTTATCTATTGGGAGTGGATGGTTGAGCCTCATTTAGGATCTTAGTTAATGTGGTATATGGATTAGGTCGAGACATATCGGTTATAAATGACCAATGTTGATCTGTATGTGAGTAAAGTTGAAACGTATGTGTATAAAGTGATCAATTGAGTTAAGTACAAGGTTGGATGCTTAGTCTCTAATCGAGTATTGGAGGACATAATATTTGAAGGGTAGTTGGTAGGCTAATGCTATAAGGGGTTAGTGTTGCAAACTAATGTCGTAGCAGGCTTGTACCTAAATTATTCTACCCTACCAAAAATACCAAACTTCCTAGTTTAAGTAGCGACATTTGAGAAATCATATTACAAGAAATTGGTATCACAATTTGGTTATTGACCTATCAAGTGTAAAAAGGTTGTGTTGGTTCAATAAGGTTAAGCCACTTAGATTGCTCACCCTATTGTAGAAGATCTTTATAGATGAATGTTTGATGATGCATTAGTTGAGGTCTATGAATATGATGTGGTGCAATGTGCTTATTGTCCATATGTTCTGATGATTATATTATTGAATGACATGATGGTGGTGTAAGTTTATTTTGCTTAAATTGTTTGCTTTTTAAACTTGTTGATGCTATTTGAGTGTTGTAAGCTATGAAATGCATGTTGGGTGATTTACATATTGTTATTGATAATATGTTTGTATTTCATGTTTTTCCAATGGTTGGACTACAATGATCATTTTTTCATAGAACATGGTAGGGTTAGTTGGAGGCAAGATGTGTTGTGAGGCCATGCTGGTGATTAGTTTTGCTGCAATTTTTGGTTTGGTTACTCTTGTGTAACCATTTGTATAAATGTTGTTTGACCAACAATTTAGGGTTACACTCATAGTTTTTAGATATATAATGTCCCTTATATGTTTGAAAAATATTTTTGTGTTAACTTTAGGTAGTGTTTGATGATTTTTATCGTTAGATGTCAATTCTGTTAAATGTAAAGATTATGAAAAGTCATTATAAATATATTTATTTATTTTATTTATTTTTAGTAACAGTTTATTTTATAATAATATGTATTTATATATAAAAATATTTAGGGGAGGGTTATTAAAGAGAATAAATATGTAAAACATTTATTGAAAGGAGTTATTAGAGAAAATTATTGAAAGAAGTTTTAAAAGAAAAGAATTATTATCTTTATATACATTTTATATATTAGTATAGATATATTATAGATACTCTATTGTTATACATTTATTTAAACAATTTATATACTATATTTTTAATTTAAAATAATAATTTAATTATATATTAATTTATGTAATTAAACTTATTAATAATTTGGTTGTTAAAGTAGTATTACATTGAATATAATCTTTGTTGAGACTTTTTTAAAAGTATAATATGAATTTGATTAAAATTTATAAGTATAAAATATATGTGATATTAATATTTTATTTAAAAAAATTAACAAAAGTGGAGTCATGTAATCTTTTAGACACGCTGATTTTTAAAACGGTGGTTATATAAGGCTAAACCCTTAAACCCCAAATCAAATTGAAGGGCTTTGCGGAGAAAAAGTAGAGAGAAGGAGGGATTCAAATTGAATGGAAACCCAGAACCAGAACCAGAACCAGAACCAGAACGAGAAGCAGAAACAGAACAGTAAAAAGCGGAAGCAAGTTTTCCCATACGGCAACTACAAGAGTTACTATGGCTATACTCTTTTCTTTAGAGAACAAGATATGGTGAAAAAGAAAGGGGGAAAAAAAGACATCAACTATTAGGTTCAGGTGAGAAAAGCAAAAAATCTAACAATGAGACCCCACTATGATAGCCACTAACCGTAAAAAGGTTGTGTTGGTTCAATAAGGTTAAGCCACTTAGATTGCTCACCCTATTGTAGAAGATCTTTATAGATGAATGTTTGATGATGCATTAGTTGAGGTCTATGAATATGATGTGGTGCAATGTGCTTATTGTCCATATGTTCTGATGATTATATTATTGAATGACATGATGGTGGTGTAAGTTTATTTTGCTTAAATTGTTTGCTTTTTAAACTTGTTGATGCTATTTGAGTGTTGTAAGCTATGAAATGCATGTTGGGTGATTTACATATTGTTATTGATAATATGTTTGTATTTCATGTTTTTCCAATGGTTGGACTACAATGATCATTTTTTCATAGAACATGGTAGGGTTAGTTGGAGGCAAGATGTGTTGTGAGGCCATGCTGGTGATTAGTTTTGCTGCAATTTTTGGTTTGGTTACTCTTGTGTAACCATTTGTATAAATGTTGTTTGACCAACAATTTAGGGTTACACTCATAGTTTTTAGATATATAATGTCCCTTATATGTTTGAAAAATATTTTTGTGTTAACTTTAGGTAGTGTTTGATGATTTTTATCGTTAGATGTCAATTCTGTTAAATGTAAAGATTATGAAAAGTCATTATAAATATATTTATTTATTTTATTTATTTTTAGTAACAGTTTATTTTATAATAATATGTATTTATATATAAAAATATTTAGGGGAGGGTTATTAAAGAGAATAAATATGTAAAACATTTATTGAAAGGAGTTATTAGAGAAAATTATTGAAAGAAGTTTTAAAAGAAAAGAATTATTATCTTTATATACATTTTATATATTAGTATAGATATATTATAGATACTCTATTGTTATACATTTATTTAAACAATTTATATACTATATTTTTAATTTAAAATAATAATTTAATTATATATTAATTTATGTAATTAAACTTATTAATAATTTGGTTGTTAAAGTAGTATTACATTGAATATAATCTTTGTTGAGACTTTTTTAAAAGTATAATATGAATTTGATTAAAATTTATAAGTATAAAATATATGTGATATTAATATTTTATTTAAAAAAATTAACAAAAGTGGAGTCATGTAATCTTTTAGACACGCTGATTTTTAAAACGGTGGTTATATAAGGCTAAACCCTTAAACCCCAAATCAAATTGAAGGGCTTTGCGGAGAAAAAGTAGAGAGAAGGAGGGATTCAAATTGAATGGAAACCCAGAACCAGAACCAGAACCAGAACCAGAACGAGAAGCAGAAACAGAACAGTAAAAAGCGGAAGCAAGTTTTCCCATACGGCAACTACAAGAGTTACTATGGCTATCGGGTAGGCTATTCTTATTTTCCCTCATTCGTTGCGTTACATGGATCGAACTTTTGTTGCCGTTTTCTTAGGTTTACCGTTATCTCTGTTTCATGCTGTTTCAGATTGGTCAAGACGTGGATGAAGATCCTCGATTGAAAGTGCTGAGGAAGGAATGGTTTGAAGGCAAGGAGTGTCTTGATATTGGCTGCAACAATGGGATAATCACCATACAGATTGGTATTTTTCTCCCTATTTCTTTAACAATGTCTTTGAGCAAATAATGTTATTCATTTTTCTGTTTTAGTGATTGATGCTTTAACTTGGCTTTTAAATGGGATTTGACTCTTCCAAAGTGACCTTGAGTAAAGTGAGTAATCTCTGACATTGATTAAAAAAAAAAAAAACTGTTGATATTCCAACACATGATTTGTTGTATATATAATATTGACGGTTGATTTTCTCATATCCGACTGATATTACTTACTTTCAAATGGGTATAACTTTGACCCCCCTTTGGCCACAGAATAAAGTTCATTTTATGCGAACAATTACAATTTCAATTCTAAATGTAAAGTTTGGATCACGCTGACCTAGGTGTTGTCTCTTTTCTAACCCCCACAGCACAGAAGTTTTGCTGCCAGAGCATTCTTGGAGTTGACATAGATTCTGGTGAGATTCTTACCTATTATGATTTCTACTGCTTAATTATTTTAATTTAAAATTGAGCTTTGTTCTGTATGTGTTTCTATTTGATGTAGCCTAAATGTGTGCATATGTAACATAGATATGTTTAATATTTTATGCTTGAAAATAAACATTGATGTTGCTTCTGCCTTTTCTTCTATGAATCTTTGAAAACAAGAACGCAGTGAAAATAGTGTGTCACTTCTGTAATTATTAGTGAAAACAGAAAGCATTTCTTTAGGGCCTAAATTTAAGAATTGAATCCTTAGAGGACTTAACAGTCATATTACTAAAGCCAATTCAAGCCATTATATTAATAAAAAACTCCTTGTTGTATTATATATGCAGCATGGACAGGTGGCTAGTATGCATTATACTTCTTTAGCAAGTAACTTATAAGATTAAAAAAATAAGCATAGAATGAACACTCAGTTTATAAAATAAAAAATTTAAAATTTGATCTTATACTATCTTAAGGAAAAGAAGTGTGAAAATGCACTGAGTTTTGCTTCTGTAGTCCTATCAAATACTTATCAGGAACTCAGTAAAGTTATTTACAACTATGTCAATATCATTGATAATTTAGTAATAGGTAGTATTAGGTCCTCAATTTTTGAACTCCCCAATTCAGTAGTATCTTTTATTTGATTTTTTTTCCGTCATATTACTAGATCGAGTTCAGGATGCATATTGGAATCTCAGAAAAACTGTTAGATTGACATCTACTGGGAATAAACCTGTAAAAGCCTCCAAACTTCAGGACAAGGACCATGCTGATGATTCCGGGATCAATATTGATACAAAGGAGATTTCAAAGGAGCATTCTTTTTCAGACCAAATTGATCTGTCAAATGTAGTTTCATTTAAACGAGAAAATTTTGTTCAGGGTCGACACCCACCAGGAAAGCACTACGATACAATTCTTTGGTAAGTTGCTGTTTTTGTCATTTTTTTTTTCCAGTTCCACTTAATAAAACATGTTCTTTGGTTTTGAAATTTTCCATCCCTTATGCCGTATTGGAAAAGTCCTATTCAAAATTGTTTGGTTTTGATTTTTGTGTCCTTTCTAGTGCTATTTGACTTTCACAGGATAGTTGCTATCTATTAAAATGGTCTGGGTTAGGGGAAGTGCTTTGGCTATATTCCTAATTAATTAATGTGGGACATCTTAGCATCCACCCCTCACATTCAAGACTAGACATTTAGAATGTGAATTTTGCATGATTGGACATTTGTGGATTGCCCAACATCAAGACTAGATAGTAGATATGCTCTGGTACTAAATTAAAAAATGGATTGGGCATAAAGGCCTCAAAAACTAGCTCAAGGGGGAGGGTTTTCCAAGTCTTGGAACAATTACTTTGGCCATAGTCTTTGTGTGACATCTTAACACTATCCCAATGGATTATCTCCATATTGTACTTTTTATTTTTAATGTATGGCTTTCATTGAAATTCTATTTTTGAGCATGATTGCATTTGCATTTTCAATTCTTAAGCTGCAGGAATAAATTCTCCAGTTTGGTTTGACTTATCCCTTCTTTAACAATATTATTTGAATATTTATTTTAAATTTTCTTCAATGTGCTGCTAATGTTAAAATAAAAGTTATCTTCTTTCTTGCAGTTTAAGCGTATCAAAGTGGATACATCTAAATTGGGGGGATGATGGCTTAATTACTTTATTTGCAGAGGCCTGGAAACTGCTCCGACCAGTAAGTATTATCTCCTTTCATCATCTGGTTGTTATTCTTTGTACTTAAAGTTTGGACCACCAATTATAGAAGTGTTGCAAAAAGGAAAAAGGCATGATATATTGGGACCTAATGACCTATCTTGTGAGACAAGTTGTTTATGGTGAGATAAGCATCAGATTAAAATATACAGCTGCACATGATCTCTTCTGAAAACCTACACCCATCCCTTCCTTTCTTTTTATCTCTGGTAGTCATGGATGTTTTCTTCTTCACACTCTCAAGATTCCATTTTCTCACTCCATTCCAACAACTTTTTTCTTTTCTTTCTATTCCAGCTTGGATTCATCTTCTGAAATCGACTGATTTAATAATGCCCATGACCTCTGGTTAACCACGCATTACCCACACACATCCTTACCTCTCTGTAAATATATTCTGTTGTATATATAAAACATATTATTTCTTCTGAATAGGGTGGCATTTTTGTGCTGGAACCTCAACCATGGAAGTCATATGAAAGCAATCGTAATGTCTCGGAGGTGATAATTAGCTTGCCTTCATTTCTGTGGTTATCAGTTTTTACATTTCAAGGGGGTACTGTGAAGTTTAAACCTTTACATACATGCTATGGAAAACTTACCAAGTTTACTCTATAGTTAGTGTTTTATTGGACCTATTCATCATGTAAAATTTCTACACGGTCTGGAATCATTTCCGGAAATCTTGATCAATATGGCTTATTGATTTGCTTATGAAAAAACTGCAAATCATGGGGCTTGATTGGTTTGAGAAAATATTTTGTTTTAACTTTTGATTACAAAAATGCACACCTTGTTTTTTACTTTGTTTTCTATTATTCTTATCATTTCCTATGTAATCCTTCGGAAGAAAAAAAAAATGGAAACAAGGTGTAATTTTTGTAATTAAAAAAGAAAACAAAAAATGAAAATAGAAAATATTTTCTCAAAATAAACAAGCCCTTAGCTTCAATGGATGGATATCATTGTTGTTTTTCTTCTGTAATTCTATTTTTATGTTAATGGAACAACTAATGCATTATCAATTTGCTGATTTTTTAATTATGCTTTTAAATTCCTGTATTCCTAGCTAGATATTATTACCAAAAATAAGAAAGGGGCTATTGAATCATTTATTTATTTTTTCCCATTTTTCAGACCACTGCTGCTAACTATCGTAATATCACGATTCGTCCAGAACAGTTTCAGGAAATATTACTAGATAAGGTTTGTATTGAATATTTCTTTTGGAATACTACTTTCATTTTTCAAAGTTTTTCTATTTATTATGATTTTATTCAGGTTCCAATGTCTGGTATTTAAATTATCGCAGATCGGATTTCGAACAGTAAAAGATATCACTTCAGGTTTGGCAGAGAGCAAGACTGGTTTCAATAGACCAATTTTGGTCTTTGGCAAATAATCCATGCAAATAGTCAGGTGCAGAGTCAATGTCATTTTATATATTTTGAGATCAATATTGGTTCTTATAGTGTTGCATGCAATGCAGCTACTGTTCACGATGCATGGGTCATCCTTGGTGAATAGCAGCAGTTAATTAGCAAATTTTGAGTTGAGGGCGGTTGAATGTATAGAATGAAAATGAAAATACATATTGTCTTTTGTGTATTTTGCTAGGAGTATCTCAGTTAGATTCGCAAGTAGGGGAGTAGATGGATGTAGCAACAAACATGTCTTGCTTGTTTACAGCTCGCAGATACCACAACTTGATACTCTCTATGAACTTTATTTATGAAGAAAAAATGTTAATATCCCATTATTGAGATGCACGTTTTCTGGTGAGGAATGGATTGCGCCAATTTAGGTGATATTTGTTTGAGAATCAGCGGATATTTGATGTTATATTTTGCCAACCGCCATGATAGCATCATTTGGGATGGACATGATAGAAACTAGAAGATACATTTGATTTCCAGCCGTTACCGTGCATAGGACAAATGATTTTTCCTTTGGTTATTGAAATTATGAATATAGAAATATTTATTCCATGTTTATTAGAAAATTCTGAAAACAGATTTCTAATTATCTTTATTCTCGAAAAAGCCATATTATCATTTCTGAGATTCGAGTGTTTGTTTTAGATATCAATATATTTTTGGAAAACATTAATATTAGTCTAAATTATATATATATATATATATATATATTTTAATTTTTTTATTTTCAAAGCATTTATTTTAGTTTTTTTAATATTTATATCTGAGTCAATTTAGTCTCTTTTTTTTTTTTAATAAATGTTAATCATTTTTTATTTTGAGATATAAATTTTTTATTGATTCAAAATTTCACATTTATTTTATTATATTCACGAATATGAACTAATACTTTAGCAAAAGAGTCATAAATATAAAAATTTATGTGAATATGAATTAAATGTAAAATAAAATAATTAAAAAATCTAATATTGTCGTTACTTTTGTGTTTTTTTTTATTATTTAACTTTTTATTAGTTCAAATATCACCTATGTTTTATAGTCGGGATAAATTTCATAACTTAAATTAGTAAATAATTTTTTTTACCAGAAAACCAAAGTATGTCTTAATAAAATAAAACAAATGATTAAAATTATATTTTAGCCTAATAATGTTTGGTTGGAGGTGAATTCAGAGAAGAGAGTTTTATAAACTTTTCTTGTATGATTTAATTTTTAAGAGGGGAGGAAAATGATGAGAAGTAAAACATTTTATATAATTTTAGTTCTTTTTTTAATATTGAGAGATTTAGAGGGGAAGTGTTCTTCTCCAATAATGTTTAAAAGTTATAAGGATATAAAGGTAAATTACATTTTTAAAATCTCTCTCCTCGAACCAAATAAGAAAATATTTCTTTCCTTTCTCTTCTATTAAAATTCATCTCTTCCTTTTAATCAAACATATAATTTCGAACACACCCCTTCTCTCTATGGAGTATATTTTTTGTTATAAATTATAAACATCTTATATCGAAGATAATTTTATTCGAGTAGAATAGTCTTAAAATGTGAGTTTAGACCTAACTTAACTCTATAAAATAGGTTTGTAAGATAAATATTATACTTCAGTTATATACATTTTGTTAGTCGTATCATTGATCAATGTGAAATGTCTAATAGATAGGATAAGATTACTTTGACCATAAAATATTTTGAGTATTTAATATAATTGTATATCTAACGCTTAGACTTATGCTTCAAGTTAAGTTAAAACAACTTTTGAAGTATATTTAAAGTATTATATTACATTTTTTGAAATCATATTAATACTTGAGGGTTTATTTAAGGTGTTTAGGATTGCATTTTAATATTTCTGGAAATATTTTTAAATATTATAAAAAAATAATTGGTAACCATATTATTGTTATAAAATATTCACCGTAAAAAACAATGACTAATTTCTATTGGAGGCTTTGAACTCACACAAAATGTATATTTCCTTTCAATGTAGTCTATTACATTATTAAAGTCAGAATTCAAACTTCAAACAATTTGATTAAAAGATATAAACTAAGAGTTAATCACCTATACACTGTCGGTGTAAAGTTTTTTTACACTGACAACTAATTATATCTCTTAATTGTGTCATGTCACTGTTAAAAATATGTGTTTATAGTGACATGACACAATTAAGAGACATAATTGGTTACCAATGTAAAAAATCTTACACTGACAATGTATAGGTGATTAACTCATAAACTAATATCACTTATATATCTCATGATACCCCACATCTTTCCCCATCACTTTCTCCTTCTTCATTGTAAGAATAAAAGTTACATAAAGCATGAAAATTTAACTTTTTTGTGAAATAAAAAATATTTGAAAATTTATATCCATAACTCTTTAATAAATGAGAATAAATACTCATATTTATATTTCCAAAAATAGAAGATGATGTGGAAAAACATCCCTTGTATTTAGACAATTCTTATCCTAAAAATGACGGATGAAAAAGTGATATTTTCAAGGATTATAAAAAATTATTTTCTATCAGACTTGTATCTTCTATTTTTACTTATATTTTATTTAAATTAATTTAAATTTTTAAAAAAAAATTCAAGAATATTTTTTAATGAGTAAAATATTTTTAAATGCTAAATCTTATATCCTAAACTTCAGAGAAACGTTCCATTAATAGTAATAATAATTAGTAAATGAAATTTCCCTTGCCTGGAACCTACGGTTTTAATTGGGCCTTGTGAAAGTAAATCTTGATGGTTTTTATGGAGCTTTAAAAAGTGAGAGTAAACACCCCAACCAACAGTTTTTAAAGAGAAAAATATCACCCCGCTTAATTTGGTTTTTAAGATTAAAAATGTGAGAGGTGTAAAAAAAATTAAAAATGCGAGATAATTTTATTTATTTATTTTATATTTTTATATGTTATAGTCAGAATGATTAAAGTATTTTATGTTTATAATTTTGAGAAATTAGTGGGTTAAAATTTTCTAGGCCAGATGATAGTGTTCCTAATATTATTTTTCCAATGACCTATTTTAGTGTATACGTTGCATGCACTCATTTGCATGCTTGGAAGACCACACCTCAACCTGCACGTGAGTCTCGGAGGCTGATGATTTTCAGTTCCTCGTATCGATGCTTAATTGTATTTTTAATTCTTTTATTATGTGAATTTTATTGTCTTTTTTACTATTTTAATTGTATAAGTTTTAATCATTTTACAATTTAACATCTAATATTTGAAAACATACTGATATGAAATAAAAACAATTCATGAAATTGAAAAGATAGAGAGAACCAAATACAATTAAACCTACTTAATAACAAAGGAGAAGAGTACTTTGCAAAACCACAGAAGTCAAATATGGTAGTACAACAGTGTCAAAAAAGAAGAAAAAGAAGAAAAAGATGAGACTTTACTCAAATTTCAATAAGCAGGGTCCAAGTGAAATTATGGTCATAATTGTGTTATTACTTTTACTTTCTACGTTTTCTTCATTGACCTGAGTTGATAACGCTCGTCATTATGGCATTTCAGGGCGAGTGAACTAATTCCTCTCCTCTTATATCAACACCTTTCTCTTTTCTCTTTCAACATGTTCCTCTTCACTCACTCACTCATGGAAGAAAGAAAAAACTCTAAGGTTATGATGCACACTGCCTTTTCTTATGAACAAGGGCAATACCATTCCAACAACTTGGAGTGCAATAATGTGCTAAAGAATAATGCAATAGGCAACCCTAATTCCTTTCAAGTTGCTCCTGATCCTAAGGAATATTCTTTTGAGGTGTCAGACTCAGACTCAGACTCAGACTCTTGCAGTGATGAAGAAGTGAGTTTGGATGAGTTTCTGAATGATGGAGGAACAAAGAAGAAGATTGAGCAATTGGCTGCAATGGTTGGAGTTGACACTACCGAGCCAGTGATTGTGCTGACTGAAGTAGTGAGACTTCTCAAGCACTTCAACTACTATTATACTTCTACTACTTCTTAATGAAAAGAACAATTTTAGTTCTTCTCTCATGTTTTTAATTTGTTGTTGTTGATATGATATGCGCTGCGTTTCCATCTACAACATATTAGTTTAAGAATTTATCTTCGGATTATTTATTTTCATTTCTTTAATTAGTTTAATTTCTCCCCAGTTAGCTAACATAAGACCCTACATCATTGCTATATGACTTTCCCCCATGGAAAATCTGATTTGATTATGTCAAACAGCTGGGATATGATTGGGAGTTTCAGAAGAGAGGAAAATTTAAATATAAATTTATGTGATAAAATTTTTCTGAGCAAGTTTAAATTTTATCACATAATTTTTTCATTGCATGTGATAATAATCTTATAAACTTGACTATTCTCCTTTGCAGTCACCATTGCATGTGTCAGTGATGATAAATCGAACAGAAGGGTTGTTTCTCACGGATTGAAATGACCGTTTCATTGAAATCGTGTTTTTCTGAGAAAGTCGAGTTTAAATTTTATCACAGAAATGCTTTGTAGGATGTATGCTCATAGTGTAAAGGGCTTTGAATGGATGGAGGAGAGATATAAATGAGTTTTTTTTTTTTTAAAAAAAAAAACTTAGTTACTGTAATATCCATATAAAAATTTACTAAAACAAAAAAAATTGATTGAGTTTTCTTTTTTCCTTAAACTAAAAGAAGGTTATAGATTATATTAATAATTATCTATATAATTAGTATTTTAACATACGCAATATATAGCTTAAATACTTATTATATGGAACTAAATTTTATAATAAATTATATTATATACAAATAAATATTATATTTGAATATATAAAATATATTTTAAATTTATAATAAATAGTGTATATTGTAACACAATATTATTTTTATTTATTGATAATTTATTTTAAAATATTAAAATTTAATTAATAAATCATTATAATAAATAAAAGAGAATTATATAAGATATTAAAAAAATTTAAAAATTCTTTCGTTGAAAAAAAAACCTTAAAAACATAAAATTATGTTTAACATATACTAAAAAGAAACTATCATTGCTAATGTAAAATTTGGGTAATTTATTGGTTCAAACCTTGATACCATTTTAAGAAACTATGAATGAGGGAATAAGGGGACCAAAATCCAGTATTGATATCGAGAAATATGTTACCGAATGATGCAGAAACAACAATGATGACAGTACACGGTTTGAAGAACAATATTAGCGGAAAAAATAGGATCAAATATTGACATGAGTAAGTGGTATCATCAATTTGGTGGATAAAAAGAAAACAGAAAGAAAAATAGCATGGGAGAAACAAGGCTTGAATATGGACAGAAATAAAAGCTGAGCATGCTAAATCAACAAAAGAAAATCAACAATCACAAAGGAAATAAAACATTCATCAACCGTCTCAACTCGAGTTTTTGGTGAATGTCAATCTGCTCTCCAGATTTTAGTAATTTTTTATTTGAATTTATATCCAAATAAAAAATTGTTTTAAAATATGCATAAGCTTGGGAGGGCTACTCGATGCATGTCAAAGCCATGCAGTGTTTGTATGCCACCTTTAGTCGTGTCTGTCCTATACAAAATCCAATTATCAAACTTTATTTATTAAAAAAATAATGACTAAATTATATTTTTAACCTCTCAAATATTATAATTTGTGATTTTGATTTTCAAAATTTTAATAAAATAATTTTAATTCTTCAAGTGTCATCACAATATAATTTTAGTTCCTCTAAATTTAATTGACTAATTTTATTTCGTATAATTGAATGATTTTAATTCTTTCTACTAAAAATTTAATATTTTTAGAATTATATATATATATATATATATATACCTATATATCATTTGTATATAAATAAAAATTATAATATATAACTAAATAAGTTAATAATTGTATAATTTTAAAATATTATATATATATATACATATTATTACTAAATAAATAAAATTCATATATATTATTAGTATTATAATATTATTGACAACCTGATATCAATATTGTTATTATTATTATTATATTTATAGACAACATATCATCACTTATTTTAATGACTACGACAAAATCGAGTTTTCACAAAAACCTGCCAAAAACATATCAAAGACATCTAACAAATGAGACAAAACCAATCTGAATATAGAAATTACGTGACTGGGGGAAATGACTAATCTGAATAAAGAAATTACATTGAACAGGAAAAATGAAACACTTTTTTAACTCGTTTTAAAAAATAAATTAAAAACATAAGAGATGAAATGAGAAAGTGTGCAATTAACTCAACAATAATGGATTGTTTCATATATTAGGTTGAAACTTGAAAGACCAAAAAATGTCTTGAAAAAATATGGACTTGTTATAGAATTCTCCATACTCAACCTTTTGACGTCAATGACAGTGCGTAATACATAAAATTCAATTAACTATAATTGCGGTACATCTCACTTCCATATTATCATTCTTTAATTCACTGATTGGTATAAATGAAAATTTAAAAGGTGTTGAGTGACGCTTCAGCATAGACAGCAACATGCATTTCAAATTATAAATTACATCGGAATCATTTGAATAACATTTAGCTCCGCATACATTGGCAACCTTATTCAGCATAAATGCAACTGGTATGCTTATAGCATTCCAGCAATAAACTCTTCTAATCAAATTCTGAAAATGCACCTCATGAATGCTGCTTTCCCGTGTTTCAAGCACAATTTCTATTCACTCACCTGGGAAGTATTTGATACATCAGCACTTTTATATGAATATAAAACACAGTATTATTTTGGCTATATATGTTTGAAACATCAACCTCATGTAAATGCAGGATGCTTTGGAAAAGTTGGAACTGTCTTCACATCCCCTATAATCTTCATTACAGTTCAACATAAATTTGTTTGTTTCTAACATAACATGGAGATCTTGAATCAGGAACATCTAATGCTGGGGTATCTAATCTAGTAGAGAGAAAAAAGGTTGCATATGAAATACCTCCAGAGAGTCTGCAAGTTCGGAGTTTCCATTCACCAAATCAATGCACTCGAGATGACACGGTTGGTCGTGTGGCTAAAGAATAGTGGAAAACATGAAATAAAATATGTTAAGAACAAAATAAGCAATTAGACTGAACTAGAACAAACAGCGGGAGGGTAGAGGGGCCATTAAAGTTACAGGTGGTTTGGCTTATCAATGGAACCCAAATATATTGGCTACTTAAGAATGGGGATCAAATAGTTCCATTCAAAGTTTAGAACCAAATCTTGTTCAGGCCATGAAAATTAGCTTCCTTTAGATACATGGCCTCTTTGTAGAATTTTTTACATAATAATAATATTAAAAATTAATTCAGAACCTTACAAAAATTGTGGATGGAATAAAAAAAACGGAGATACGTATACCTCAATAGACCTTTACCAATAATCATTCATATTAAAAACAGCTCTAGTTTCAAGCCAAGCCCTAGTAGTCCTAACGCAATGGAAATTCAATGTGTAAATCTTACCTCTTCTCCACAAAATTGATCACAAAATCTAAGGTCATCAAACTTTTTTTTTTTTTTTTTTTTAATAAGCCTAAGGTCATCAAACTTAAACTTACTTTTTTTCCAAAGATTCAGAACAGAGGATCATAGAATAACCTGCGTCACATATACAAGGATATGGTATCTTGGGACTTCAAATTGAAGTTGACCAAGACGAATCACTGTCTTGGCCCAACAAACGAAGGTGCTAGACAGAAAACCTGTATCAGACCTAAAAGCTAAGCAAACTTTACTGGCAGGTGACATTTTGCATGGTCTAAACACCAAGTAGAAACAAATCAAATCATCCTCATCTTGTCAACTGTAGCAATACTTCAAATCTAATTATTACATATTTGGGCCAGCAAGATGATTCAAGATTCTTAAATTGAAGCACGAACACCATTACTAGGTAGCTCCCTTGGATCCCCAGTCTAAGACAATGACTACTTTCAATAACTAATGATTTTACATTGACTCATCAGCTCAAAAAGACTGGTATGACAATATGATAACCAAGGACTAATCTATACTCGTGGGATGAGATTTCTGCTGGCCAAACATCATTTTAACATTAACGATAATCAAACCTGATATGGCAGTAACAATGTTTACTTGATGCATTCTCACCCGGACCCTGTGTGGTTTATGCTGAATTATTTATCAGAAGTAGCAGCATCATGGAGCGTCAAATTTCCAGACAATATTGATTGGAAAAAGAAGTCCTGCAAAAGTAAAAAGTATGAACTGATAATTGAGCAGCACACTTGCAGAGTTAGATTTACCATTTACCAGTGGAGCATGAAATATACATCAGTTTATCCCAACCAACTACACTGATGTAAAACTAGATAATACTCTTCATCTCAAGAATAACAGTACAAGTTAACCTGGGAAAGAGTCAAATTTGTGCTACCTACAAGTATAGCAGTGCTTCTTGATCATCATATCATAGATGTATTAAAAAAACGAAAATAAAGCCATAAAAATGTTGACAAAAATCAAAGACAATTTGAAGCAGGAAATATATGATTATTCCAACTATTTTACATTATATCTGATTATTCCAACAATGGCACACATGTTAATTATATAAAATTAAAAATTTTGTTGGTGGCAGGATATTGTAGTTTTTCTCCCTTCTTTCAAAAAGATCTCAAGAGTTAAAAGAAAACGAGAAGTTCCAAATGATGAGGCACAAATCTTGATAATTAAGTGACAACATCCTCGACATAATCCATATAACATATCAGCATGTAAACATGTAAGTTTAAAATAGATGCCATGGCACCAAGAACTACCTTTGATAACACATAAGAGACTATTATTTCAGTGATCTTTCAGTCATAATGTTTGCTTCAGTATCAGAATAACTTATACTTTCGATAACCTGGTGAATAACAAGAAAGCGCAACTAACCATCATAAAGGCAAATCATGAGGTCACGAGGAAGGATATGCTGAAATACTTTACATGAAAACAATTGATAAATTTGAAGCTTTCAGATTTTATATCTTTATTCTAAGAAATTCCATCTATTGATGCTTACTAACATGATGTGGGCATTAAAAGTGTAAATGTACCATTTCTTTTATAGACAAATATAACCAGGTCAAAATAAATTTGCAATTTATAATATCGACAAACAATTTAAAAGTTTTCAAACAAATTCTGTTTGCCACTTTTTGTATGGCACAAGGATAAATATCATCAAGTAACATATCGGAGTAACAGGGCTACTTCACACATTAATGTTACATGAAAACATGAATACACAATATTGCTGTGTGCCAAATTGACATCTATGTACAGCACAGGAGCGAGGCCTGGGAAGTCTGTTTTATACCGCACAATCATTTGCAGTCACCTCTGGAAAGAAGCAACACTAAATGGCCACAATAAAGGAGCTACGCAATCTGTCAACTTTCTAGCACATTTGCAGTCTCCATGAATAGATAATTTAAATATTCTTGACCAAACGCTTCAGGAAAAGATGCACGGAATCTTCTTTAAAGCTTCACAGCTGAAAATACAACAAAATATAAATGGATAAGGATCAGTATTACATGATAAATCTCAAAGCATTTCAAGAAATAAGATAGAGAATTACAGTATTTGGCATTCATTTAGCAGAAGACATGCGCTGAAGAGATGACATCCAGCTACTTGAAGGTCCAATTTTATTGCCTTGCCCATGTCCAGGGTTGGAAGCTTCAGGAGACAACGATGGCTTCAAGGAGTTCCTTTTTGAAGTACTAGTAGGAGAATATGAAGTAGAGGGAATATTTGCTTCTCCAAAAATCTGCAAAAATAATTGAATAATGCTTGCCTAACCCTCCGTTTTAGACAAAATAGCGTGCAATCACAGAATTGTGACTTCAGTGCTTCATCACAGCCACAGCAAGAAAAGTGAAATTTTTTAAAATGACTTACATTTTTGTCAAGTGGGTTCTCATGACTAAAATTTTTCACTGCTGGTGACTTAAACTGAATTTTAACACCAGAACTAGCAGCATCGCCCACTCTAATACGCTCTTTAACATGCCCTGAATATACATTAAGACCTACCAATCAGGTAATAATAACAATAATAAAACATTCATTGAAGTAGAAACCTAAATGCTCATTCATCCGTAATCCTAGACTAGCTAAATTAAAGTTAACAAAGACATATAAAGGATTCAACCAACCTTGATGATTATCAATATCCATTGGAATTGCTCGACTGTTACTTGCTCCTGGAACTGGCTGTGATATAACATAATTTGATATTGTTGTCAGGAGCACAGAAAGATTCAAGATGCATAACAATCAGTAACCCTCTTCCTCTGCCTCAAAATATATGAAAAAAATGGCCCAAGAATCAAATATACTTACAGATAATGGAGGGAGCACTACATTCTTTTGAGATTGCTGGTACTTTAAAATGGTCCAATCAAAGACATAATCGAATTCATAACCTGACATACATCAAGAAAGGAAAAACCATAAAGTAACCTACTAACGTCATTTAGTTATGATTATGACCTAGTGTTATTATAAATAAGGGTTAGTGTTTTATGTTTAGTATCATAAAGTAACCATGTCAAATCAAGGCAATGTCAATATCAGTGTGTTTAGGCTTTTTTATCTCCTTTTTCTCCCTCTATACGTAAAGCCCTATAATTTCAACAAATTCCTTGCATTTTTATATAAAGAAAATATTCCCTTCCCCTCCTTCTCCTAGTAAAGTACATTGTTGAATCCTAACTTATAATTGTAACAATGTCCAAGACCAATGATAATTTTCCAAAAGCAATATTAACACAATTGTGCAATGGATTTGACTTTATATTATTCAAAATATTAAAAGAAAATTCACCTTCTCGAGCAAATAAGTCCCGAAATAGGCGCTTTAAGAATCCATAATCAGGTCGCTGATCAAATGTCAAAGAGTGGCAGTAATGGAAGTACGAAGCAAACTCCACAGGATGAGATTTGCATAATACCTTCACAAAATAACAAACAAATTAGTATAACATTATTTTCTTTTCCATACTTTTGGGATGGGGGACGCATCATGTTCACAAGACAAATATAAGTCCAAACACTTACCTCAATAGGAGTTGATAATTTCTTCTGACATATTTTATCATACTTTTGTTTCTTAGTAGCAGCCTTCAGACCTTGCCAAGGAAGGCTGGACACAAATATAGACATTAAAGGTGAGATTGTTTCATTATATCATGTAAGAACAAATTAAAGGTTACAGAAAATATACTATAAGAAAAGGAGGCTGGGCAGAATATCCTTACCTTCCCCTGAGGAAGTACAGAAGTACATATCCTAGTGATTCCAAATCATCCCGCCGACTTTGCTCTGAAAATAAAAAATATTGCAAATTAAAAACATATGTAATTCATTTAGGCCGAATGGGTTAATAACTTTTTCTAAGTTATTACTTACCAATCCCAAGATGAGTATTGCAACTTGCATATCGGGCAGTACCCGTTAGGTTTTTGTTCTCCCTGTGTGTCACTATTGTTAGTATTATTCCAGGGTATTTCCAGTGGATCAGAAGGACAACGATACAGAGAAAGTAAAGGAATTTTCTGAACAAAAGAATTATAGAATATATTTATGAAAACTGATTAAGAAGTAGGTTGGAATATGAAAATAATTCAAAAATAGATGAGGGGAAGTTAAAAGATATAATTATATAAATGTTAAAATAATAAATAAAAAATAGAATGAACTTAGGTACAGGTATGGGATACGCAATTTTTAAAAAATTTAGGGTAAGGCTACCGGTACATTAATATAATTTAGAAAAATGAGTATATAATTATATAAACAAGTAAAGTGTATTTAAAAAAATACATAAATGAGAATAATTTGTAATGTAAAAGATTAAAATTTTCAATATAATACAAAAATATGTAAATGTTCAACAATAAAAATTATAACCCCTCGGCATGACTATGATATCACATTTTACTTGTGAGATATCACACTTTAACGATTTTAATCTCATCATTTCCTTGTCCATCATTAGTGAAAAAAATTGCTTCTAGCTCCAGTTCATCAAGAGAAATAATAACAACTTCAAGAATGTCAGCACCTTCAAATGGATCCCATTCATCTCCACCAACATCTCACTTTAATTGGTAGTACTTCCCTGAACGAGTTAGGAAATTGAGTCTCGTATGATGTACATGTTGGTCAGTCGTCAATCCTCATACTATATAGGTTCTATGAGTTGTCGTCATCGGTGTGTCATGTTGTGTGACTCGTGAATGAGAATTGAGATTTGAGAGCAAATAAGATTAATGGAAAACCTAATTTTTAATTTTTTTTTTTGTTGAAAGATATAGTTTTCATTTATCAAAATTAGATATGGGCCCAATACTTACCCAAAATACAACTATTTGTACCTAAATTAAGTATCGACCTTTTATCGAAAAATATTTTGGGAAAATATTTTGAATACGTACCCACAAGTACCTAGTATTGGTACATACCCATTACATTTACGACATGAATCTCGAATTACCCATGCATCATAGTGAACTAATAGGGAATCCTAAAGAAGTACCTGTAAGGAATGTGGCGATTGGTAGTGGAGTCCCGATAACGCTTCGCAAGCCCAAAATCAATTATGTAAACCTGTCAGGAACAGCACAATTACATAGATGAAACATAATAAATACCAACAAATAGTTCAAGGGCAAGTTTGACGAACTATAAAGGGAAAGGACAATAACAAGATTACCTGGTTGGCCTTCCGCCCAAGTCCCATGAGAAAGTTATCAGGTTTAATATCCCTATGTAAAAATCCTTTAGAGTGCGCATATTCTATTCTAGTGATCTGCCAATAGAAAGAAAAAAAAACAGGGTTAATACTTGATATCAAATTTACAGTTGAAGTCAAAGATATGAGAAGAATTCAGGAAGTAACATTCATGAAAGAATTTCTATTCTACATAGAAGTATACAGCAAGACTAACAGAAAAATGAAGAAAGTTTGACAGAAAGGGTCACAGGAGGCAGGGAGTTCAGTTCAGCTCAACAGATAGAAAATCCATGTAGCAAATCAATTTGCAGGCAACGTATGATATAAACATCCACTTTGGTGATCATGCGTTAGACATTCACTTTGGTGAACATGTGTATGCTCCAATTTACAGTCAAAATATTTCACGCCAGCTTACCATTTGATCAGCCAACATTAACACTGTCTTCAATGAAAACTTCCTTCCACAATACACAAAAAGATCCTCAAGACTCGGCCCAAGCAAGTCAAGAACAAGCACATTATCCTCTCCATCTACGCCAGACCATTTTATGTTTGGAATACCACCTACATGCAAAAGATTGACAATATCCAAAATATTAATCAAAATTCACCAGCATCCCTATAACAACAAAAAGGAAAAAAAAATCAAGATAGCAAAATGCGTACTTCCTCCTTGAAGAATATTATAGAGCTTTGCCTCATAAAGCAGTTGCGGATGCTTTGTTTTACTATTCTCCTGCAACACAAGAGAGACAGTTTGTAAGTATCGTAAAACGGTAAAGTTCAATTTCAGTGATTCATAAACCTAATTGGTAACTTGCGTCAATGAAAACAACTCATGCCAATTCATGCACAGTAATCAGATACGTAAATTCTTATATGCAACTTCAATCAGATACAACCACAGAGCGTTTGCGAAATAGTAATAAGAAAATCCCTAGCAAAAGCAGTAGGCAGAGCCTTACGATTTTGACGGCGACGATCTCGAAGGTGTCGATATGCGTCGCTGCAGCAAAAAGAGAAATGAAAACGAACGATCAGAAGAGAGAAAGCTATAATTAAAGGTTACAGTGAAATCAAAGAAAGAGAGAGATGAGTCACCGAGGTAGATTTCGCCGAAGGATCCACTTCCGATCTTGCGGCCGAGCTTGTACTTGCCACCAACGATGCGTTCCATGTTTAGAAGGTTCTAGAAGCGAGTCAGAGTAGGATTAGCGCAGCATCAAAGCAGAGCGAGAGTAGTAGCTGGTTCGGAAGAGAAATGAAGGCCACACAGGAGAGAGAGAAAAGGAGGGTGAAGGGTATTATAGACAAACACAATGGAGGAGGCGGGGGTCTTTGTGTCTTTTTCCATAGAGTTGTTACATGTTAGTGTGTTCACGAGCAACTGCTTAGGGTGTTGCCTTTCTTTTAATTCGACTTGATTTTTTTTTTATTATTTAAAAATAATAATTGAGTTGCATGTTAAGACCATTCTCAAGATTTTATAAGTATTTATAAAATTAATATATTAAATACAAATTTCTATTTTGTGTTAAAGCAATTTTTTTTCAAGAATTACATAAGATTTTACCTACAAATCAATTCTTATCGACATCTTGTATCTAATGACATATGTCTTAAATGTTTATGCTCAGTGAAGACTTTGTTACATACCTTAAGGGACTCTCCTCATTCGAAGTAAGTATGACTACAAATGGGTCAAAGGTTTGCTTAGGTATTTGTCATGAAAGATATTGACACTTTATTTTTAGTTATCATTCAATATCATAATGACATGAGATTGAGTATGGTGCTTTGGTAGATATGGAGATTGCGTAACAATATGATTTTCCAAGAAAAGGGATGAAGTATTTTGTATGTATTGCATCAAATTAAGACAACTACTATGAATAATCTCATTTGAAATAGAGGAGGAGTTAGGGGTAGAATGTGTGTTGCTCTTTTCCTAAAAATACCTATAACTAAAGTTAAATGTAAATAATAGTTGGTTGAGTGACAAAAGAGTAATGGAATTTGGCGGTGTTGTGATGGATGTAGTGGAAGGTTGGAATAGTAGTTTTGCAAACTCAAATAAAATGAGTAATGGTGATCGACTTTATACATGTTGGCAATAATGAAAAGTTTGGAATTGTGTTGACACTTATGTTGGCAACACATAATTTGTAAATTAGATTGTGTTGGGACGGTGTCAGTGATTTAAGGGTCAGATCATGGGAGATATTTTCACAAGCATTGAGATATTATCAACAACATTAAGAAGATGGTGGTTTGGGACGAGAGGATTGTTTTTGTAAGTATCTCTTGGGATATAAATAAAATAACTCATATTCTTGCAAGTTGGAACTAGAAATTCAACTATTTATAATATATGGAGGAGTCTTCCAATTTTTAGTTCTCAATTGATGAGAGAAAATATTATTTTTCTGTTGTAGTTCTTTTCGTTTGTCTTATTTATTTTTCTCAATATGAACGTTTTCTTTAACTAAAAAGTTTTTAAGAATTTTTTAACTCTTTGATTAATTTAATTTTTATTTATTATAATTATTTATGAATCAAAATTTAATATTTTAAAAGTAAAATATCAATAAAAATAATATTATATACAATATAATTATTTATCACATATTTAAAATATTTGTTTATATAAAATTTAAATATAATATATATATATATATTTAAATATAATATTTATTTATATATATATTATTATAAATTTTTATTATATATAATAAAAATTTATAATAATATATATATAAATAAATATTATATTTAAATATATATATATATATTTAAATATAATATTTATTTATATATATATTATTATAAATTTTTATTATATATAATAAAAATTTATAATAATATATATATAAATAAATATTATATTTAAATATATATATATATATTTAAATATAATATTTATTTATATATATATTATTATAAATTTTTATTATATATAATAAAAATTTATAATAATATATATATAAATAAATATTATATTTAAATATATATATATATATTTAAATATAATATTTATTTATATATATATTATTATAAATTTTTATTATATATAATAAAAATTTATAATAATATATATATAAATAAATATTATATTTAAATATATATATATATATTTAAATATAATATTTATTTATATATATATTATTATAAATTTTTATTATATATAATAAATATTTATCATGAACATTATTACAGTTACATATACTAAAATAAAATACTAGTTTAACAAAAAATTAAACACCCATCTTTTTAAGAGATGAGTGAATTCCTAAACCACTAAATCAGTGTTATTTGCGTCATATGTGATGTAAAGCACCACTCAACTTCACTTTGTTGTTGTTGTTTCTTTTTAATGTTAGTTTGAATATATACGAATCATATAGTTGACTTAATAGCAAAAGTTGATGATGGAATATATAACGCTTTAGATTCGAATTATGATGTAATTATTATAATTTTAATGGATTAAAAAATTAAATATTTTATGTTATAATAAATGTAGGGAAGAAAAAATAATTAATTTTTAAAATTAAAAATTAATTTATACATCTAATTTTTAGGTAAGTTCTCCCGTATATATATTTATTTTCAAAAGATAAGATATACAAATTAATTTTAGTTGATAGAAAAAATTATTTAAATATAAGGATTGTAGACTCATAAAGTAGTCTACATGATAAATAACAACTGGTATCATAGAGACTTGACTTTGAGTGTGGGTGGGAGAGATGGAGAAGATGATCGCGGTGGGTATGGTATGGGGCGCCACAAACGCTATCATGCGCCGGGGTGCGCTTCTCTGGGACGAGGCTCTGAAATCCTCCGCAAAGCCACATCCGCACGCATCTCTGGGTCAGAAACTGCGCATCTCCCTCGGGAACTGGCTCAAACTCCTCTCCATCTGGCAATACTCCATCCCCTTCCTTGTCAATCTCTCCGCCTCCGCCACTTTCTTCGCCATCCTCTCCGACGCCCCGCTCTCCCTCGCCGTCCCCGTCACCAACGCCACCACCTTCGCCGCCACCGCCGTCTTCGGCATCCTCCTCGGCGAACGCACTCACCTCCCCCGCGCTCTCTTCGGTACCGCCCTCATCGTCCTCGGTCTCTGCTTCTGTATCAACTCTTAGCCCTACTTCTTCCACCTTTTTTTTTTTTTTTTTTTAACTCTATTCTCTACTTTGCAAATTCCTCTGTCGCATAAATTTATTATTCTTCCATACATCATAAGATAATTCACCATTATTCAGTACATCGTCAATATGAATGGAATCACCAAGACCGTGACAAATGTTACATGGAAAAGAAGAAGAAAAACACTTCAGCTGACGTCATGCCTTGTCTTCAAACCCTTACTATTAGGTGCAGTTGCATTTTCACGCATTCATACTGTCAATGCATTCGTAACCATTAGTTGAAGATTGGACAGTTTGGATCTGGCATACATGTTTTAAGTTTGATTTAATGAAATTAAATGTTAGTTGTCCAATCTTCATCCAATTGTTTCAAATTGCCGGGGAATGCGCGAAAAACGAACTGCATCAGATGTTTAGAATTGTGGTTTGAAGCATTCTGGGGGAATCTGTCCGTTGAATCTTTTGGTATCTGTGCAGTAGTTATAGATCATGTAATTCTTTCTGATCCAATTCAGCTGCCTCATCTCGGAGTGACTCAGCTGCTTGTATCGCCGGGAAGTCCACCAATTTGCAGGGACATTGGAGGCACATTGATTGATGCTCTTTGCTCCACCCCACTTGCAAGCCCTTGCTCTGAAATGGTGGAATCTGGCCATGAATGGTGCGCCATGCCAGTCTGTCTTAACAAGCCCGCCTCTCGTTGCCCACTCGTCTGCGTTCCATAGGCTCGTGTAAACCCTCATTCCTTGCTTGTTTGGGTATGCAATGCCATCTTTTTCGTAGTTTCGGAAAACCCGAATTGGCACACTATCAACATACCACCTGAGGTACCAGTCATAGGCGTAGTTAATGAATCATAAACAATTTGAGAAGAATGATTGACTGTGTTCTGGTAGAGTTTGTCAACTTACACAATTTGTGTGGGATTCCAGTGAATGGTGTAGTTATGAAAATCAGCAGTGGGGTCAAACCAGAGGTAAAATTGTTGCTCCTTGCTTCCTTTTCCTTGTGTGTATATGTTAGTATGGACAGTATATGGTTGTCCTGTACTGTTGCCCAGAAATTCAAAATCTATCTCATCATGCTGGTTTCCTGTAGAGGATAACTGTATGGATTTTGAGTGAGAAACGTTAGCTCTTCATTTAGTAATGGGTGTTTGATAAATTTGGTTGTTCATAAGTACATATTTTGTGTTTAGATCCGGTGAACTTACATAGTAGGCTGTAACTGTTCCGGCGGAATTACCAGGTACCAGCTTGATTAGCATTTCAATGCTTCCAAATAAGAATGACCGCTTTGATTGAGCAGCTGATCCTGAAATCCAAAGCCAACACCACAGTGTTCCACTTTAGCTAGTAACATATGAATGCATTTTAAAATATTTAGTTTACTGCAGTTTGCATAATGTTTAGCTTGATTACAAATGACTGAAGTGCTACATGAACATATTAATGTGACGCTCCGATATTTAGGCTTAAATATCATTGGATTAGATCACGTTGTCAATGTCATTATTTTCTACCAATGTCCAATAGCAGCATATTGAAAATACAATGAACTTGTTACTTTTTTAACTATTTCCTATCTCTTATATAAAATTTCTCTCTCCAAAAGACGAGTTTATTAAAATATAAATTGAGGCATGATAAACTAAGCATAAATGTTTCACCTGAGGTTTTATCCAACACAAGATGAAGGTCTTCACCAAAAATTGACGCATGTTGAACACCCCAAGTGAGGTACATGCTCTTGGAAAAGTTGGCATCCACTTGGATGATGTTGGGTACGAGTGCAAAGATTAACAAAGCCAAAAACATTTTTTCAAATTTGGACATAGTAAATCCTGTGTATAACCTAGTGTCTGTGATTGCCGTTCTATGAAGTTGGGAGCTTGAGCGATATATCATTGGTTGGTGATGTCTTTATATAAGTTCCAACGATCAACATGACATCCAAAGATGAACTCTGCGTGATTGTTGTACATTTAATTGCGCTGAATATAAATGGACCTGTTCATATGCTTTGTCATTTCGATATTATTATTTTTAGGACGGGGAGCCAACAAAATTTATGTCAGGTTTCATAAATAAGTTGGCTCCTGATGGCGTACCAGTGTTTGAAATGTGGTATTTTCTTTTTAATTTTTTTAAATATTCCCTGCTACCACAGTTTTGTCTATAATTTTTATTGTTTCAGAATAAAATGTTAGACCAGGCCAAAATCAAAAATCAAAAATCAACATAATTAGAAATAGAGATGGAATTTTGTTGCGTCCGCGTAGGATTCATGGGAAGTTCAAGTTGGGGAGGCGCTGCTGCGGGCTAAGCCTGAATGTCTGACAGCCTGAGCTAGCAGGAGCGCAGGGGAAATATAATTTCGTGCTCAAGACTACTACTGTACATTGTGACTAAAGGTGATCTAATCCATGATTTTTTTTATACGTTACCTCAAGGTGTCTAGAACTTTCTCAATTTATACAACTGCTGCTAGAACTTTCTCAGTTTAAAGGTACATAAGTTTGGTCGAGAGAACAAAGGATGCGTGATTGGCAAAGTAATTTGGCGCTTAATCTAGACAATATGGGGAGAGGTTATATTTTCTTTCAAAATTGGGAAGGGAGTAAGCAGATTTAGTGAAATTAAGAGCTTGGTCATGGCTAAAAATTAAAACTAAAGCTTAAGATTTCCAACATCCGTTTCATTGCTGGTTCAGCAACCAGGCATAGGCTTTGGCTAGAAGGCAGCTAGCAGCAAGGATAGGGAATATCATAATAACATGCGTTTTTGTAAAAGCATGTGAGGTTGGTTGATGGGGCATTTGCTAGTTGGAAGACATGAGGACTCATATATGTGATTTATATTTTATGGGATATTATTATTGGACATCTTGATAAGGAATAGTAACACATTTGGATTGTAGATATTGGATTTAGTCGGATCGATGAATCATTATCAGGTTGATTTGGGTTGTTATGTCGATCATATAGTTTTGCAATTTCTGATGCCTAATTAGAGAACTGCTTACTTACCTAACAACAAAAGAATTGACGGTGCGACGTACATGTATATGATGTATTCATTAAGTTATATTTTGAACATCGATTAATTGACAATAAAAGCGAAAATATCTTTAAAATGGATAACTAATCACTGTTTACATTATACAAATAATATATCTGTTAAAAGTCTTCCACATACTAAGTAAAATTTGTTAACACTTCCTTGATGAAATGAGATTAACCAAGTAGACACATCAAATCTTGACTTTTGTGAATGTAAAAGATTCAAGTGAGAAGAAAATGTTCACTTATTTGATGTCTCTTAAACTTTTGAAGGGAATTACTCATGTATTTGATGAGAAATACTCCTTGATAATGAACAAAAAATTGAAATTATATTCTAACAATGTAACTTTCACAGTAAATTAGTGATTTTTACAATATACAAAGAGGTAGAAGAGAAGAGAAATATGTGAAAAGATGAATATTTTATTTATTTAGTTTAATTTCATTATTTAAGCATTAAAACTTGATATCTTAATAATTATTTTATTTCTTATTATTTGTTTATTTATTTTTCGTATGGATGCATCTTAAAATAAAAACACACCAAAAAGAAACAAGTCAAATTTTTATCATCCCCTTTTATTGTTCAAAATGAATTACTTTTTTGTTGGAAGAAAAGAAAGACGTGTCTATGTTTTATGAACAATGATAAATATACGGACAGTTTGTGAGAGATGAAAGGAAAAGAAAAGGAGAAATGTAAATGTGACAAGTGATAAAATATAAAAAAGAGAGAAAAACATAAATAGAAAAGAACAATTATTTTTCTTTTATAGTAAATAGACTAATTTCCTCACATCAAGATTTTATGATCATTTGAAAACTAAAGCAAGAGTGGGAGAAGGAATAATAGGCCTTTTATACCCCCTACCAGTATATTTTGATAGAAATTCCTTTCGTACCTTTTTTATATTCCTATTTTGATTTGAAATTTAACTAGTATAGATTGAAAGGTAATTACTTAAGTGAGGTAAGTCATAACTTCCACACAGAAATCATATTTTTTATATATGACTTATTAATACTGAAAAGCAGGTTGAATGCAAGCATAAGAACCAAGGATGCCCACGTAGTAGATATAAAATATAGTTTTTGTTATTTATTTATTTATTTTAAATGAGACAAGTCATATTTATAGAGTGTAAGTGTGTAACTTTGGAGGTTTTTCTTTTCTTACAAATTTCATTCTTATTTTTCATCATCTATATTTTAACTATATAATTTAAAATAATTAAAAAAAATGATCTTCCTATTTTCCCCTAATTTCTCCTCTTATTTTCACCCATTAAAACACACAAAATAAGAAGCAGTTATATCAATTCGAAATTCATAAAAGAAGCACAAATACCTTTTATATATTTCTCCTTCACTTGATCGAATTAACAAATTAAATGACAAATTTGAAGATTAATATGAAATTCCCTCTATTGGATGTGCACCCACATTCCCTTGCCAGGCAAGCCACGATGAACAACAAAGAGCAAGTAGTAGCCAGGAGGAGCAATCTCACCGGATGGAGGTGCTTCCGACCTAACCTTATAAGACCCTTCAGTTTCCACGATTAACTCATCAACCTTAAGAAACAAAAGCCTTTGTCCCATAGAGAATCCATGAGTGGTAAATGGAGGAGAAAACATGGAGACCTTAATGTCACTCTTGGCCAACTGAGCTCCATCTTGGACCAAAAACCTCGTCTCAAAGAAACCACCGTACACCAACTCTTTCTCCGAAGCCTCCTCGTTGATCTGTGGCCTGTACTGGTCAAAATTGGCATCCAAATAAGGAGGAGAGAAAGCCTCGACTCTAGTCTCGGTTGGGAACTTAACTTTGTCCTTGTACGTGTTGTGAGTGTTGCTACCAGAAACCCAAACCTTGCCACTAGGAAGCACGGTGGAAGTGGAGTGGTACATTCTCGCGATTTGGCTTGCTTTAAGGACCGTGAACCTAGTCCCTTTAGGGTTGTTGGGTTTGTACAAGACGGGTGTGTAGTTAGGCTTGTCGGCATCCCACCATGCAGAGGTACCCATGGTTGCACCATTGATGAATAGGAGTTGTCCATTGGGAAGGGTCAAAAGGTCTCCCATTGTTCTCATTGAAGGCATTAACTCATACTCCCACTTAGGAAAAGTCTCTGTGATCACCAACCTGCAAAATAAATCACATGTTCAAAAGTTAGAACTATATGTAATTAAAATCACATGCATGTAATTAATGTCAAAAAAATTTATAAAACTATAGAGTAAAAGAATCAAAAAATAATTATATGATATTTAAATCAAGAAGTTGAGTGATGATAAAAAATAGGAACAAGTTGTTGGTGTTTGAGAGGGGAATAGCATACATACCTATTGCAATCTTGAAGAGCTGGGAGGAAGATTTTGACCGTATCAGCGAGATGGAATGCCTCAGGGGTGTTGCCGCCGCAAACAATGACCTCGGCCTTCATATTGAGGTCGTTTAGGTCGATGGGGAGGAGGGCTGACATACCGGAGGCAGGGTAGTTTCGGGAGCCACCGGGCAAGACTGGGAAGGTGCGCACGATTTTGTGGCTAGTAGGGTTTAGGAGCAACGAGCGATTGTTGGCAAAGATGAAGAGGTTTCCATCTGTGGAAAGATGCACGAAAGGGTACAAATTGTTCTCATCCAGGTCCGATGTTTCGTACAAGAATGGGAAGAAGTAGGGTTTTTGGCTCTGTTGCCCTTCCTTTGGAACAAATTCGTAGCTAAACGATTTTCGCCCTCCTATCAAAAAGAACTCCCCGTTCGGAAGGATTTGTTGAGTCGCATACCTATTCATAAGTTCAAAACTTACATAAATTTTATGAAATTTATGGTGCTATTAATAAGGGTAGTGTGTGATGTAGGTACCATCTCTCCGCTGCCAATACATCATTGTGTTCCCTCCATTGACAATCTTGGCAATTAGGGTCTAGGAATCTAATTGTTCTCGCTCCTGTATCAAAACCACCTGTACCCACAAAGGTACCATCAGGTGCAACCCCTCCACTAGAGCACCATGGATCTCCACCATTTACCTGTTAGCTCCCACGTATATCAATTAATTAATTAATGCTTTTATTATTATATTTTGGAAAATAATGCTTGTATAATAATTTGTATGATATCATTTTTTCATCTCCCTTTGTCACATCATTTATGCAAAATGAAGAGATAAACAGTAAAATATAATGTTGTAGCTAGCGTTACATTCTCTATCTTCACAAAGGCAAAAATTTACCTGGAGTGGTCTAACTTGGTTTGTCTCAATGTCGTATTCCACTGCATGAGCATAACAATCGAATTTGTCTTGTTGAGTCACCATATCTCTATAAGGAGCACAGGGTGCCCCCTTGGGTAGCATGATTCTGGAGACACGGTATATTTTGGCATCAAACATGATGATCTTGTTGGTGGGTAACAAGTTAATGTGCATGGCTGAAACCCCCGCATTTTGAGAAATGAGATCCCAATGCCCTAGGGAACCTACTTGAAAATCACCTTTGGCTTCAACCCCATCTCCTCCAAGAGGTGTTAAGGGAAAGTCAAAGGGTGGAAGTAGGGGAACGGGTGGAAGTTGAGGAAGAGGTGGGAGTTGAGGAAGGGGTAGTGGCTCAGGAAAAGGTGGTGATTGATCTAAGGGTTCTTCAAACTGGGGAAAGGATGGGAGCCCAGGAAATAATAATGGGTTGGGATCTTCATTTTGATCTCTATATTTTTTGTGTTTGTTCTTCTTTTTGTGTTTGGCTTCAGCTACGACAAGGAGCAAGAGAGTGCAAATGAAAAGAAACTTGATGGAGTATGTCATATTGTATTGGTAGAGATTAATTGATGAAAATTTAGTGAAAAACGATTAGAGACCAAATACACCACCACACAAAACACAAGGCTTTGTTAAAGCCTGTGCGTGTGGCTTTCTGGTTCTCCTATTGTTATATGTTTTGGTTTAGCTTAATCGTGCATTGGATTTTATTAGCTTTGGGTTAAGTCAAGACATTTGCCATAATAAAGCAGAGGCAAATGATTTCACCCATGTTTACAGGAGGACGTATCTACGCTAAAAAAAACAATTGTTTTTTTTTTTTTTTTAGTTTTACTTCAGACAAAACTATCCAACTTAAATGTGATAAATGTCTAACCATTCAGTTTCATGGACAACTATTGCTTTCTAGAATAAGGGATGATATATTTATAGAATTTCTATTTCTATTAATATGTATAAATTAAATAATGTGTTAAACAAATATTAATTTTTTTTCCACCGTTAGACATATAAGAGAGCAACTTATTGTAGAGTAATATTTTATAACAACTATTACGTAATCAAGAAAAAAATATAAGATTTTTTTATAAAAAAAATACAATCAAATATTTTGTAGTTAAAATTTTTAATGAATTTATATCATAAGTATGTATTTTTTTTAAAAAAATTAATTAAAGTTATAAGAATCAATGAAAAAGATAAAAAAAAAATAAAAAAAATAGATAAAGTTAGGATAAAAAAAATAATATGATTTTTAATAGCTAATTTTTTTCTTCGCCAAATGAATATACCCCACTTCTGATGGAAGATAAACAACCACTAGGGAAGGAACATGTTGAATTTGTAGCAGACTTTTTGTTTGCACAACAAAATATTAATTGTTAAATTTAAAGTACTTGTATATGACTTATTTCAAAAACATTCTCACAAATTTATATTTATACAAAATGTTGTGTGCAATAACATATAAAATAAAACTTTTACTTTCATTACTTTCTTAATTAGGCATTCTTAATGTTCTACGTTTTTTTTATTCGAGGATATTTCGCATACTAATTTAGTAAATAACTAAAAAAAAATATTCTTATTTTATATCTTGACGAGGAATGTTAAAATTTCATAATTCGTATTCCTTTTATTTAAATTTTCTTAATTATTATTATTTTTTACCTGGATAAATTAATTACGTTTTATTAAACTTCAAATACTTAATTTAGAAGCAAAATATTTTACATATTTAATAATTTAAAAATATTTTAAATGTTTAATAATTTAAAATATAAATATTAATAATTTTTGTGTTAATACTCATTGAAAAGAAAATAGGAGAAAAATGAAGTAGAGGTGAGAGAGGAAGACAAAAGAGAAAGGAGAGAGAAGAAAAGAAAGGAATTGAGAAGGGGAAGAAGAGAAAAGGATGAGAGAAAGAAGCCAAAAGAGACAATAAATCTGGAAAAAAAAAATTAATGTAATTTTTATTTTTATATAAATAAAAGTAGAAGTGTCTAATTTGTTCCGAAGACTTAATTTTTCCTTCCCATATTAAGGCTAAAATTATAATTTTATTTTGATTTACTTTAATTTTAATTTTAAAAAATATTAAAAAAAATGTAGTATTGTTGTACCTGGCAATTTCGAGCAATGGTTTTGCATAATTAGAATTTTTCAAAGTGTCAATTGTTATAAATGATTTTAATTACTGAATCTTTCCCAAAAACAAAATCAACAATTTTAAATCAAGCACATTCAGTTAGATATCAATCCGCTTCTCAATTTTATTCTCCCCATAATTAATTATGACAGGAAGGAATAGGTTGATTCAACATAACCGTCATACTTAATTTCATATAATCTATGTTGAAGTTTTGGTGTAAAAAGATTTTTATATCAATTATAATTAGATAATATAAATGAAAAAGACTAATGAATTCAATTTTTTTAAATTTTAAATTAAAATATGATATTAAATTTATTTATATAATATACTAATTATCATTGATGGAGTGTTTTTCGATATTTAAAGTATCTTTCATTAATTTGAACTATGACATTAGCTACAATAACGATTGAAACTGAACAAAAAACTAGAAACACCGGAAACCTAGATGTCAAACATAATTAATGAGACATATGTTTAGGTAATCTATATTGACAAATAAAAGACGCAAACAAAATACCATATAATATTAATATTAATCCCCTATTTGGATGTAAGGATCAATTGTATGTGATACTTTCAAAGAAAATTATGCAATGATCTAACGTTAACGATAAGTTTTGTCAAACCATATAATAAATTCTTCAAATTGGGACCAAAATTTCCCACTTTTGCTATTTCTTTGTAAAAAGTAGTAATTAAAAATTAATATTTACAAGGATTTAGATTGAAAACTAAAATATATATTTTTTTAATCATTTTTTCTAAGGTTTTAATGGTTTTTTTTTCTTTATTTGTTGTTTTTCTAACTAAAAGATTTCACATAAATTCATAAAAAAAATGAATATATCAGTGAGTAAAAAAACTAAATAAATAAAATTATATAAAAAGAATAATGCTGTTTAAAAATATATATGTTAAGTTAATTTAAACAGTAAAAAAATATATTTTCCCCTTATTTTGATTAATTCAAACAAAGTATTAAAAAAAAAAAATATAT